ATATTAACCCTATGTATCATGCTGATGGTGAGCATTTTTAATAAAATTAAAAATTAAATTTTTAAAAATTTTTTCTTTAGATCTTTGCTATGCTGTTGAGCAAGTGGGCATTAAGACGGTACATTAAAAAATTATTTTAATTTCCCTAATTTTTTCTGGTCATTTTTCCCTTTCAGTTAATATGCCCGCCAGCTTTTAAACGTTCCCAATATTACAACACTCTTCGCGAATTGATCCCAGAACTTGAAGATGCACCCCCAGGGGATGGTAGAATCTCTACTGACACATTCCCAAAATTAAGAAATTTGATTGTGTTTAAAATGGGAAATGGAACGGAAGCGGGGATTGATGAAAATGGAAATGAGGGTAAATTTTTGGGGGTTTCTTGGGTCTTTTAACTTATTAAATTAAAATAGACGGAAGATATAATGGCGCTTGGGACTATAATCACGTACTTAACATGGGAACTGTAGAAGACCGCAGGCGCTTGGCCCAGAATGAGGCAAATGTCCAACCGGATGATCAAGCAAATATACAATATACTAGTGTAATTATTATATTTTTGATGAAAAAATTAGAAAAAAAATTTTTAAGGGAACCACAGGGAAGCCGAAAGGTGCAACACTTACTCATCACAACATTGTAAACAACGCTTATTTTGTGGGGTTGAGAGCTGGGTATCATGAAAAGGTAGTTAATTAAGCTTTCCGGAAAATGCGTTAGGAAAATACCTAGGAAAAAATTCTGGTTAGAAAACACAAAAACTTTCCGGAAAGTTATATGTATTTTTCGAAAAATTCAAACAAATTCCGGAAACTAAATTGTTTCCGGAAAATACATAATTCTGATTCTTTAATAATTAAGAAAACACATTCCGGAAGATAAACAATTTCCGGAAAATATTTAGTATTTTTTATTAAATGAAAAACACATTCCGGAAAATACATAAATAATTTCCGGATTTTCGAAAAATACAAAAACACATTCCGGAAACTAAATTGTTTCCAGAAAATAATTCTGATTCTTTAATAATTAAGAAACACATTCCGGAAAATAAATAATTTCCGGAAAATACAGTTAAATGAAGAATTCTGATTTAATATTGCGAAAATACAAAGGAAATAAGTTAACGGAAAACACAGAAAAATTCTGTACTTTTAGCGAGCAATAATATGCATTCCAAACCCACTTTACCACTGTTTTGGGTGTGTTATGGGCAGTTTAGCAGGTTAAATAATTTAATAAAAGTTTAAATTTATTAAATTAATTTTTAGCACTTGTACATTTTAATACTTGTGTATTTCCTGCACCCTCCTTTGAACCACTCGCAGCGCTTGAAGCAATTCATGAAGAAAGGTGTTTTAATTAAAAAAATAAGGGAAAATAATTTTAAAAATTAAAAAAAAAATTTTAAAAATTAAAAAAATATTTCCGCAGGTGTACTGCAGTTTATGGCACTCCCACAATGTTTATTGATATGTTAGGCCATGAGGAGTACCCATCTTTTGATTACTCCTCAATCCATTCAGGAATAGTTGCTGGCGCTCCTTGTCCAGTAACTCTCTGTTCTCGACTTGTTAATGAGTTGGGGATGAAAAATTTGCAGGTTTTGATGTTTGAGAATTTTTAAATAAATTTTTTAAAGGTGTGTTATGGTACAACAGAAACGTCTCCGGTCTCGTTTATGTCAATTTGTGATGACCCGCCAGAGGAAAGGATCAGAAATGTATTTTAAATTCCGGAAAATAAATTAAAATCTTTGAAGGTTGGTCACATTATGGATCATTTGGAAGCGGCTATAGTCGATGCGGATGGAAAAATCGTTCCGAGAGGGCAGAGGGGAGATTGTAAAATTCTGAAAAATTTTTAATTTTAAAATTATTTTCTAGTGCTTATTCGAGGATATTCATTAATGTATGGTTATTGGGATAATGAGGAAGCAACACGTGCAGTTATAGGCAAAGATCGCTGGTATAGGAGTGGGTAAGGAAAATTTGGAAATTTTCTGAGAGAAAAATTTTCTAAAAATTTTTTCTAGTGATATTGGTGTTATGAATGAGAATGGAACTGTTTCAATCGTCGGTCGCTACAAGGATATGATAATCCGTGGGGGTGAAAATATTTATCCAACAGAAGTTGAACAATTTATTGATAAACATCCAGCGGTTGCTGATGTGCAAGTTATTGGAGTACCGGAGTATATAAATTAATTTTAAAAATACAGATTGTTTTCCGGAAAATACAAAAAATAAATACAAAAATTCTGATTCTTCCGGAAAATACAAAAATAAATATAAATTCTGATTCTTCCGGAAACAATTTAAAAAATACAAATTACTATTTTCCGGAAAATACAAAAATAAATATAAATTCTGATTCTTCCGGAAAACACAGAAAAATACAAAAATTCTGATTCTTCCGGAAAACACATAAAAATAAATAAATAATTATTTTCCGGAAAACACAAAAAATAAATATAAAAATTCTGGTTCTTCCGGAAAACTTTTAACAGAAAATACAAACTAATGCTTTCCGGAAAACACTGAAAATAAATAAAAATTCTGATATTTCCGGAAAACTAATAAAAACACAAATTATTGCTTTCCGGAAAACACATAAATAATAAATTAAAACTCTGGTTTTTCCGGAAAATACTTTTAATTAATTAAAACACAATCCTATCGAAAAATACAAAAAATTATGATTTTCTAAAATTATATATTTTAATTTAGTGAGCGATTCGGGGAGGTTGTATGTGCATGGATCCGGTAAACTTTTATTTGTATTTTAATTAAAATTTTGTATTTTTATTTAGACTGAAGAATGGTGCTACCATTACAGAAAGTGACATTCGTGAATATTGTGCGGGGAAGGTGCTGAAAATTTTTTTAATTTTTTTAAATTTTATTTTTTATTTTAATAGATTGCACACTATAAAGTACCAAAATACATTCTTTTCAAGGACATAACTGACTTTCCATTGACTGTAAAAATTTTTTAAGAATTTTTTTAAATTGAGGGAATTAACTAAATTAATTTTTCTTTTATTTTTAAAAATCAAAAAAAATTTTTTAAAGGTGACTGGGAAGGTAAAGAAATTTGAAATGAGAGAAATTTCAAAAAGAGAGCTTAAGGTAATTCTAAAAAATTTTTTGTCTTTTTAACAAAATTATTTTTTTAGCTGGAGAATGTTAAATCTCATTTTAATGATGCAGGGATGTAAGAGGAGAATTTAAAAAAATAATTGGTCCGATAAATTGAAAATTATCTCCCCTCCCGGTAAATAATATAATAATTCTTTTTCCTATTTTTGTAAATTAGTGAAATATTCCTTCCAATTAATAATGTTTTTAAAATTTTAAAATTAATTGTAATAATTTTTAACATTTTGTAATTAATAAACTAACTCTTTTTGTTGTATTTTTATTTAAATTAATTGTAAAAATTACTTTAAATATTTTTCGAATTGTATGGCCGATTCAATCTCGAGGTCATTTTTTACCCATAACTTTTTCGAGTCTTGACCGATTTAATTAATTATTATACCAATCGAAAGCTCTGAATGTGAGGATTATTTTATCTAACAGGATCATTTTGATCAGATCACTCTACAAAAAGTTAACTAAATAAATATCGAAAATCACGATCGCGTCTACTTAACACGGTGTAACTTTTTGTAGGATTATCTGATCAAATCAATCCTGTTAGCTAAAATAATCCTCAGATCCTGAGCTTTCGATTGATACAAAAATTATTTAAATCGGTTAAGATTCATAAAAGTTATAGCCAAAAATACGACCTCGAGAAGCATGAAGATAATGTTTGATTTGTAAATAAACGGAAAGTTTCAATATTTGGCATAATGTTTAAAATATTTAATAAAACTTTCAACTGTAATGGGCTCCGGTACAAAATATGGAATCGTTAAAATATGGAATGGTTAAAATCGCGAATAGGCTAAAAAGGGGTTAAAATACCGAATCGTTAAAATATGGAATCGTTAAAATATCGAATCGGGTAAAAAAGGGTTAAAATATGGAATCGTAAAAATATGGAATGGTAAAAATGTCGACACGGCCAAAATGGGTCAAAATGTCGAATTCTTTTAAAAACGGGTCAGATTTGTGCCATACGTTGATTGTTGATAATTTTATCAACATCAGTTTATTGATGATAAGTTGATTGATAAGTTTGGTAAGTCGTAGTCCGTCGTAATCTTTTCTGTCTGAGTTCACTGTACTTTACCGAGTAAAACCGGACCGGATAAATCAAGCATAATCGACCGGATCCGGTCCGGCATGATCGTACGGATCCGGAAAACATAACGCGATCCTGATATGGAAAAATTAGAGTGGTATGCATTAGTTTTTAGTTAAGACCTAAAGTTTGACCTTACCGTATACGGTATGGAATACCGAAAAATAACGGTCAGCTTTTAAATTTTATCGGTCGGCATTCCGTACCGTACAACCGACACGGAATACCGAAAAATACCGTCGGTATTACGGTAACGCCCGGATTTTAGGTTTTGGCGCCATTTTTTTAAAAAAATTCGACATTTTGACCTATTTTGGCCGTGTCGACATTTTATCAATTCGATATTTTAACGATTCCATATTTTAACCCTTTTTTAGCCGATTCGATATTTTTACCATTCCATATTTTAACGATTCCACATTTTAACCCCTTTTTAGCCTATTCGCGATTTTAACCCATTTTTACCCGATTCGAGATTTTAACCCTTTTTTAGCCTATTCCATATTTTAACGATTCGATATTTTGTCCGGACACGCTGTAATGAGAAGAGAAGTAGAATATTAGAGATAACATAAATTTGAGAGAGACATTTTAAAGTGAGACTAACAGAGAAATTTTTTATTTTTTGTTAGACATCAGTTAAATAATTGTTCTCGAGTTTCTGCTTAATTTCTTGAATTTCAGGGTTATATTGTTTATTTTTGCATTTTATTATCTGTATTATATTTTGTAGCTACTTAATTAATGCCTGTAGAGAGGTTTTTTTATTTTTATTTTTTAAATATTTATTTTAATAATTTTAGACGCTTCTTTTATGAAATAACTGGTGAAAGAGCTCGTGAACTTTTATTTTTATATGGATCTAATGGAGTAGGTTTTTTTCAATTTTGGGTTTAGTAGGGTTCGAAATTTTTAGGTTGACTAGCTCGGTATCTGGAAAGGTTTTTGATTTTTTCTTTCTAGCTTACTCGTGCGGGGTTTTTTCGATTTTTTCTTGAAGACCCACAAACCTCGAACACCCCGGATTTCTTAGATAAATTTCTGGATAAAACCTTGAAACCTGGAAACCCTTTAGTTCATCAAATTGCTTTGTTTCTGGGCTACCTGCCCCAATTTTCTGGCCGGGTTTGGATACCGGACTTGACCCGTCTTCGAACTCTAGTTTTTTTAAATTTAATTTTTTATTTAGGAGTTTATTGTTCGTCCAAGCGAATCGAGTGCTTCTGATTATACTCTGTCTATCCAGTAATTTTTTATAAATTTATCAGATTTTTTGATATTTTTTAGTCGTGGAACTCGAGTAACTCACGTCAAAATTGTGCATAATCCTCTTTCCAAAACTCTTCGTTTACCCTCTGGACATGACTTTTATTCAGTTGAAGCTGTTGTACAATTTCTGGAGGCTAATCCAAAAGTGTTGACTGAAGCAGATGGTTTAAGTATTGAATTGACTAAACCTGCTCAATTACCTATTGCGGAGACTGTTGTGAATGTTGGAAGTGATCGTTGGTTTTATTTATTTTTTCTTATTCCAACGTTGAGGGGGGAATTCCCTGTACGAACATTTGATTCAGCCCCACATGATGAAGATTCCAACATAGAGGAGACTGTCATTTACCCGTCATTGAAACAATCTTACTCATTATTAAAATTCTTCCTTCCCCGTACTCGTATCAACCTTCCTTGTCACTCGATCATCCCCTGTAGATGGCAATACCCTCCTCATCAGGATCTTCGATACACAGACTCATTGATTAAAAGATAGCGATATATGGTCCCGATATACGTGGTTTACCTCTTTATTCTGTTGGATGGCCTCTATATCATTGTTGACCTCTCTCTTTATTTTGACTTCTAATTTTGAAAATTCCGTTTTTAAGGCTTTTTTCATATTGCTACAAGTGGACATGAGGCAGAAGCATTATTAAAAGACGAACCTTGTGGAACTTATCTTGTTAGAGGTTTGTTAATTTTTTTGAGATTTTATTTATTTTTTAAATTTAAGAAAGTTGCAGCAATGAAGGCGAATTTGCTTTATCTGTTCGTAGCAATACTGACAAAGTTGTCCATGTCCGGATATCTCATAAGAATGGAAGATTTTGTATTGTTCCCAAAGACAATTTCCGAACATTGGCGGGACTTGTTGAAAATTATATTCGACTGCCGATGGTTCAGGTTTGTTCTTTTTAATTTTATTTTTTCCAGATTTTTTTTTGTTTAGAATGGTGGAAGTGCTGTAAAACTCAAAACTCCACTCCCCTCAACCAGATTTACCGCTGCCACAATTGATGATCGTATAGATTGTTTATTGAAACCATCAAAGAAGCATGGGGCTAAAGATGAATTTGCTGAAGAATTTGAGGTTAAAAACTTTTTTAAAAATGTTCTTTTAAATTCAAACAAGGATGTGCTGATGATTCAAGGGATACGCCGGGTAGTGAAGAAGTCACAGGGATAAGAAAGTCAGGTCGGGCTGCTGATCGGGTTTCAAAATTATCTTTGAACTGGGGTTTTGGGTGAAAAGTGCCCGGATTAGTCAGCTTTCTTTTTTTAAGTTTCCTACCTTCGTCCTTCACTTCTACCAAATATTTTTTCCTAAGAAATTTTTTATAATTTTATAATTTTTTAAGAACCTCCACCGTCATGAGGAAGATTCTCAACTCTTTATTAGCTGCAAAGAAGGTAGAAAGGCAGAAAATGTTCGCAAAAATCGTTATCGAAATGTTGTTCCGTTTGATCACACACGTATAAGACTACAACGTTCACCTTCTTCAAATAATGGATGTGCTGGTGGAGGAGGGAAACTTTTAGTAAATAATGATTATATAAATGCAAATTATGTTGAGGTTTCTTTCAAGATTTTTGGTTTTTTTACTTTAAAAAATTATTTTTTTAAGATTCCTTTGGACACGAAACGCTATCCTGAGTTTGCTGACTTTAAACGACGTTATATTTCAACTCAGGTTTGGATACTTGTTTTTTCATAAGTTTTTAATTTATTTTTTAGGGATGCTTGGAAGAAACTGTCTCTGATTTTTGGTTTTTTTCCTGTTAAAATTTAAAAAAAATTTTTTAAAGGCAAATGGTTTGGCAAGAAAACTCATTACTTATTGTTATGGTTACAAAAGAAGTGGAAAGAGGACGAGTTTGTTTTAATTTTTTAAACGATAGGTCGTGTTTTCTGAAACCCGAACTTCTTTTGATTCGGATCCTTCGAAGACTCGAAAATTTTTTAAATTAAAGTTATTTTCAAGGTAAAGTGTTATCGTTATTGGCCAGATCTGGAGGAAGAATTTAATTATGGGAATTTAATTGTTAAAACTATCGAGGTATCCTTTTTGCTTTTTTTTTATTTTTAAAAATAGGGTTTAGCGTAACCTGGCATTAATCGATACTTCTGGGTTTTCGGTTATCGAGTGTTATCGATCATGGGTTTTTTTGTTTTGTTTATTTGCCCAAAAATACCGATTTTCTGTTTTGTGTCGGTTAAAAGTTTGTGTCCAATCTAGAGATCGAGCTGGGTCTGGGTTTTTCCTGTACCCAGGGTCCAGGCCCGGGCATTTTTTGACCTTCCTGTATTTTTCCTGGACTACAGTCTTAGGATCCGGCCCAGGTCAATAAATCAAACCCAGGAATAGGCCCATACTTTTCTTAATTTCGATCTCTAGTTCATTCCTTTTAAAAAAAAATTAATTTAAGGAAACTAAAAGTGATGATTATATGCGTAGAGTATTTGTTTTGAAAAGAAAAAAGGAAGGGAATAAGGCTAATAATGAAGCAAAAACTGCTGCCTCTTCAGCCTCGTCATGTAAAGAAGAACAAGAAGAAATTCACCAAAAAGACGAAAAAGAAGAAGAACAAAAATTAATTTATCATTTTCAAATACTTAGTTGGGAAGATAACGATGCTTGTCCTGTTGAATCTGTTTTAAATTTTTTGGATGCGGTCAATGAATGTGAAAAAAATGAAATTGGAGGAGTTAAGAATAAAATGAATAAAAAGTCGAAAATTGGACCGACAATTGTGCATTGCAGGTTTTTTTTAAAGAATTTTTGTTCTGGAATAGTTTACGAGTCCAATGAGTAACTATGGGTTTAATAAAAAAAATTCAAGTCCAATAAAGAGCTGCTGAGTCTATTGGGGCTTTATGAGTCCAATGACTATTTTATGGGTCCAATAAACCTTTGTATTGCCAATTGTAATTTTTTAGTTCGATAAAAGCAGTTTATGATTCCCATAAAAAATCATGAGTCCAATGGAAAGGTTATGAGTCCAAACATTCACCGGTCCAATGCGCCTTTATGAGTCCTTACGAGTCCAATGAAACATCTACCAGTCTATTACGCCTTTATGGGTCCTATGGACCTCTATGTGTGTAATAAAGGTTGATTGGACTCATAAACTAGACCAGAGCCGAATTTTAAAATGAAAAAATTTTTTGAAGTGCTGGAATTGGTAGAACAGGAACTTTTTTGGCTTTGGATATTATAATTAATAGAATTAAACAAAAAGGTTTTTTATTTTTAAATTAGAAAAAAAATTATTTAAAGGCCCAAAATGTGTTTGTGATGTTCAACGTACAGTTAAAATGCTTCGTGAACAGCGGGCAACAATGGTACAAACAGAAGCTCAATATCGGTTTATTTTTCATGTAATCTCTGCTTTTATGCGAGCATATAGAAGTCAATTTCAATTGACGGTTTGTTTTATTTTTTAAAAATTTTTTTGATTTTTTAAATTTAGTACAAAAAGACAAATAGCGTTGAAGGACCTCATCGACCCTAATTTTGACTTTAAAAAAAATTCCCAAACCGAAAAACATTCCAAAATTAATTTTTCTTCAAAATATTATCTTGTGTTATTTTCCGAGTGAATTTTCAAATATATTCTATAATATATATTATTGTATCTATTATGACAAGTAGGAAAGAATTTCTTTATATTATACAGATAATTTCAAAGTGATACATTTTTAAATGATTATAAAATTGGGGTTGTCGGTTTTTGAAACATCTTTGGGAATCCGGAACCGAATAGTTGATCCTCAACTCCGATTTTAAAAGTCATAGACTCAAGTTTGGTCTCCTCAAGTCCATTATCTCTACAATTTCCGAGCCCAAAAATTTCCGAGCCTGAACCAAAGAACTGCTACTACTTAAAAATCATTCCTCGGTTCCTAGGTTCGATTCTTCCTCGAACCGACAACCTTTATTTTATTATTTTCAGTTTATTATATCTACTTAAAATAGATAGAAAAGAATTATGAAAATATATTCAATAAAAATTTTTTTTAGCTTTTTTTAAATCTTTTTGCCAAATGTTGAATTTTACACGTTATCTTATTTTTTCTTTATTTTTTAAAATTAATTTTTAAATATTTTAGTAATTTCAGCTTTATTTTGAAATATTTTTAAGAATAACTTTAAAAAATGAGCTCATCAAATTCTAGTAGATCTAAAATTGATTCAGGTTTTTTAAAAGATTTTTGAAGAAAAAATATTTTTTCTTTTGAAGCAACATGGGAAAAATTTTTTGAGGCTTGTTGTGATATACCTTCAGAAACGAGGAAGAAATATGCGTCTGCGTTTGTAAAGCAGAGAATACAGCCGCATTTACTGCGTGATTTGGGTTTATTTTTTATTCTTTTAAAAATTTTTAATTAATTTAAGGAAAGGACGACCTTAAAGAATTGGGTATCAGTGCTTTGGGTGATCAGGTGAATTTTGTTTTAATTTTTATGGGGTATGGGAAAAATGCAGGGAGGTGAACTGATGTGGTAGCCAGCCCTGACAGGGGGCGTTTGATGTGCTTAAACAGGGTGGGCCGGATTGAGACAAAAACCGGGGCATATTCCGGATTGAATTTTTCAGAATTTTAAATTTGGCTTCGGGATTCAAATTTTGAGTAACTCATCTCACCTTTGGTGTGCAGCCAACGGCAAATTGATCGTAAAATTTAATTTTACCCCAGAAATAATTTTAAAAAATTCTAATTTAAAAATAATTTTGCAGCTAGCAATTATCAGCTATATAAATTATTGTGATGGAACGCCGCCTGAATTCCTCCCTCCACCGAAAAAGACGGTTGCACCTCCTCCTGCTCCTCCAGCACGTACAGTCCACCGAAATGATGCTTATGTTGATGGTATTTCTTGTATAAAAAATTTTTTTGAAATTAAAAAAATTTTCAAGATGATATTCTAATGTTGGAAGAGGAGGATGTTTACAGCCCCACAAAACCAGTTTTATCGACAGCTCCAGACCGTCATGATATTTATCATATTAAAATGCCTACTGGAGAGAGTAACTCAAAAAGAGCTAAAAATATTTTGGAAGTGCATAATAATTTGAGAGAGCAAGGTTTTCTTAAATTAAATTTTTGGAGTTTTTGAAATTTTTTTAGGTGTTATAAAAAGAGGTGTGACAGGCGTTCGCCGTTCTGGAATGGAATTACATTCGGTCTCGTCTCATTCCAAACCAATACAAAAGCAGTCGCCACTGAAACCGAAGCCTACAGCAGCGCTTGTTGTTCAGGTTTGGTTTTTTTGAAAACGTCAAATTTGTTTGAGTGTTGTTTTCTGAATTTTTTGGTATGGTTAATTGTTGAGTTTTAGGTGGATTTTTGGTTAATTCCGTTCATTTTTGTCAAAATTATTTATATTAATTTTCTAAAAAATTATTTTTCCTTTTATTTGTAGGACACGGATATTACTTCTTCAACAGCAGCAGGTTGGCTGCCAACGCGTTCCTTACGAAGTGATGCAATCTCCACAAAAACTATGGTCGTAAAAGATGCTTCGAGTACAGTGCTTGGGCGTGGAATGTAACCATTTAATTTTTAAATTGAAATTTTTTTAATCTTTAAGGGTTGCAAATCGAACAACCCCCTCAAAATTGACTGGAAATAAAATTCCTGTCCGAGTGAATTTGGGAGACGAAATTGCTGCTGCATTGAGGGCGCCGTTGCGCAGCCCTATTAAGAGAACAACTGTCCGTTATGAGGAGGATGATGGAATGTATGATATTGGAGGTTTATTTTTATTATTTAAAGGTGATAAGGGGGATAACCTGAAGGGTCGTTCTTAATTCGGACGGGGACAGGGACCGTCCTGAATCATGACAAGAAAAGGAAGATGGACTCCCAAGCACACCTAAATGTACCAAAAATTTAGTGCCATATTTTTGTGTGTATTAACCCTTTTTTAGGGCGTCTTTTCCGTTTAAAATGGGTTTTCTTACATCCAAAGTCCGCAAGTTCTATAAAAAAATTTTTTCAGCACATGAAGATTATTTGGAGGAAGAAAGTCTTTTTGATGTTGTTCCTGCTGCTAGAAAGATTCCTAAAATTGTTGAGCAACAACGGACTCCAATCTCTGAACGTATTCAACTTGTTCGAAAACGAGAAGGACGTCCAACAATAACTTTGGATGGACGTAAACTAACATTGTCTGGAAGTGGAGGGGGAAGAAAACTAAATATTGGAGGTAAAGGAGTGATGAAAAAAGGAAAAGGAGGAGGAAGAGGACTCTCAATTTTGGAGCGAATTTCGTTTTAATTGCTGTGAAAAAAGGTTTTTTGAAGTTTCTTTGACTATATGTGTTCAAGAATTTTTTATTTTAAAAGGTTTCAGTTATTAATTAAGGCTTAAGAAAAATCGAAGCTTGTTTCTTTTAACGTTCCCAATTATATATTTTTTTCCTTTTAGAGGGGATACCAAACTCACAAAAATCGTTGAAATGCCAAATTCACAAAGCCGACGAAATCCAAATTTTTGTAAACCCGATTTTTTCTCAGTTTGGCGTTTCGGCATCTTTTCTGGTTTTTTCAGAAAATTTCAAAAAATTTTTTGAAAATTTCAGAAAAATTTTGATTTCTCGTGAAATACTGTTTGGTATTTCTTTGTTTTAAGGTATTATGGCATTCTACCTTTCTTTTACATATTTTGTTTTTGTATTAATATTCATTCCGTATTTAAAAAAATTTACAAATAAATTGGATAAAGATGGAAAATTTTTTTTGTTTTTTCCTAATTTTTAAAAATAAATTTTAAATATTTTTTAATTAAAAAAGAACATATTTGAGCATTATAAATATTAAGATAATTTTTTTAGAAAATTTTAGACCAAGTTGAACAGCTCCATTTTTGGATGACGTTGTGGTTCTTAAACGGCGCTTCCAAGTATTTTCTTTATTTTCTGAGGATTTTTTAAGATTTCGAATATATTCAATTTTATAGGTGTTGTCATGATTTGGTAGTAAGGATGATTGGAATGATTTTGCTCCAGTTGATGAACGCTCAAAAATTGCGTAGTTTCCGTCGCTTTTTGAAAAGCTAGGGGAAGAGGTTTAATTTTATAAATTTGAAAAATTTCTAATTTATTTTCTAGTGCCTACCCAAATGTCCTCTCTCCGTTCGATGCTTCTTCCTCAGATTGCTTTAAATACCAAGATGCTTCATTCAAATCGTTCTGATGTGTTCTTCTCCCTCTTCTTCGAAATTCGCTTGATTTGGAGTGTGTTGTCCTGATGTTGTATGCTGCCTTTAAAAAGGTTAGGGATTTTTTCCTTTGTTAGGGAGTTGGGGCATGAAAAAAATTTTTTCAAAGAAATTTCCCAAAAATTTCGAAAATTTTTTCCAAAAAAAATTTCCTTACAATTCTCTTTCTACTTTCTCCTTCCAATTTCAACCTCCCTTTATTCCTCTCATCATTCACAAAAATCTGGCATTTCCAAATCCCCTCATCTTCCTCAATATCAATTTTATTTATTCTCAAAACCATCCATTGATGAAAATTTATTTTCGAATTTTTTGAACAATTTTTTCTTTCCAACTCAATTTCCACTTTGAATTTTTCATTTTTTGCTGTTAAAATCATTGCAACATTTTTGTCTATTGAATGCCATGCTTTTGCGTGTATTGACCATTTTGGGTTGTCCTTTTCGTTTAAAATGGGTTCGGGTGTTCCGTCTTGGGTAAACTTGATTTTGAATATTACCCGGGTGTTGTGGCTCCATTCAACTTTGGAAATGTTCTGAAAGGATAAAAATTTTCTATGGTTTATTTTTAAGTGTAGGAGGTCAACAGATAGAAAAATAGGGGGTTCCCTCCTTGTATGTTCCCAACGTCCGAATGTTTTAGTCATGACAGATTTCGCTCTAAATGGAGGTTCCGCGTTTTTGTGAAGGCTTTGATGGCCGAATTTCATTAGAGATTTGATAAGCAGGATTTTAGCTCCTTTTTTAAAACTTGAGTTTTGCGGACAAAACTTGCGGACTTTTGGGAAGGACCCAATTGTTCTCAATTTTAATATTTCCTTACTTTCGACGTCTTTGGGCATTTGAGCATAAACTTTTTGGGTGTTTCATTGAAGCCTTTTAAAAAATTGGGATTTTTTTTGAAAATTTTTTCAAATTTTGTTTAACTTTTTATTTTTTCATTGTCTGTAACTTCATTTTCATCTCTTAAAATAACAAAACTTTTTGAAGAAAGACAGCCAAATTTAGTTAAAATAAAATTAAAAAGTAGAAAGATAATTAAAGGGGAATGAAAGAAGAAAAACATTTTTGGAGGAAATTTTTGAGAATTTTTTTTGGGAGAAATTTTTGAAAATTAATTGGGGAAAATTTTCGGGGAAATTTTTTGAAGGATTTTTTCGATAATTTTTTGGGAGAAAATTTTTGGGAATTATTTTGGAAATGTTAAAAACAAGGGGAAAGAAAAATAGCGTCTTTTAACTTTAAAAAAAGGCTTTTCACTTTTTCCCATAAAGCTATTACTCATCTATTTAAACTGCGCATTTTAAACACAATTACCTCTATCTTCTATTTATTCTCCTCTTCATTGAAGGAGGGGGGAAGATAATTGAATTTTAAGGAAGAAAGGGAGAGGAGAAAATGAATGGCAATCTATTAGAAAAAAATTTTTGCTTTTTTAAAGGAAAAAATAAAATTTTGAGGGATGGAACGTTTCTTGAATTTAAAAAAAATTTCCAAAATTTTTTGGAGGGTTTTAGGTATTTTCTAAATTTTGTTTAGAATATTGGAAAGCGTATAAGTCTAAAAAGAGATCACAAATTAGTTGTCTCGGTGGTCTAGTCGGGAGAGCGTCCCCCTACGACAGCCGATATTTACCAAGGGGTTGTGGGTTCGATACCTTTTAGTGCCCAAACTTTTTCTAAACTCTTATTTTATAATTTTTATTTTTAATAAATTAAAAAATAACAAAATAAAAAACGGAAAAAATTTTTTAATTGATAAAAGTTGCCAATAAATTATCCATTTTTCTCATAAGCGTCGATCCCGGAATTCTCGAATAATTTAAAAAACGAAAACCTCCAAGTTCTTTTGTTGGATTTGGTTTAATTTGAAGATCATCTTTAATATTATTTTCTCTAATAAAAATTCCAGGGCAATTTCCATTTGAGTAAAATTGAAGAAATAAGCTTCTAAAAAATTTTTTAAAAATTGTCTTAGGCCTTTAAAAAAATTTTTTTGAAAATTTTTTTTAAAAAAATTTTTTTGAAATTTTTTTTAAACTTTAAAAAAAATTTTTTCAGACTTTGTCGCCGTTTGATTACAAGCATAAAATGTTGGTGCTGGATTGCCTTCCATATCAAAAGCGTTAATATTTGCATGAAGTATTTGCCAACTATATGCTCGAGAAAGAGTGTTGAGAGAACTGACCCAAAAATGAGCGGCCTGTTTTTAAAGGGTGAGAAAAATTTTAAAAATTAAAAAAAATTTTGTAGGCTTAAAAAAATTTTTTAAGTTTTTTTTAATTTTTCAAAAATTTTTAAGCCCATAGAAAAATCGTTTTTTAAAGTTATACCAAGAGAAGCAATGATTCCCCCAAAATTGAGACATCACGACGACAATTAATTTGCTGAACTTCTTTGCAAGTCAAAGTTATTGATGTGTTGGTTATGTGAATTTGGCTCGAAAATCTTAGGGTAAAAAAACTTAATTTTTTTTTGAAATTTTCGTAGGCTTAAAAATTTTTTTAGATTTTTTAAAAATTTTCAAAAAAAATTTCTTCGAGCCTACGAAGAATTAAAAAAATTTTTTAAAATAAAAATAATTACTTTGCAAGATTTTCAAATCCTCTGTTTACAAAATTGAGAGAAATTAGAGTAAAATTGGGTGTAACACGTACCCATTTCCATTGAGGCTACAAATTTAAAAAATTAGACTAAAATTAAAAAAAAAGAAAACCTGTGGATCACAAAAATGAATTGAATAATCTTGTAAAAAATCAATTGTTCTAACTACGAGTTGATAATGAGAACAGCGATCCACAAATTTTTTGATTAAAGAAGTGGACGTTTTCATACGTGAAAGTACCTTTAATAGAAAAATTAGTGAGGTAGAGCTAGTTAAAAACCCCAAAAAATTTTCCAAGAGACCCAACACGTTGTCCGAAAACCAGAACCTGAAAACCTTATTTCCAAAGTCCAAGACGCTGAACTAACTTAATTGTAAGGAAGGTCTCTCCTCCTAAGTCATGGAATAGGAAACCAAGACCCTTAAGCTTCAAGTTCTCTCCCTTTTTCCTTAGAAATATTCCGGAATATTGGACTTCCTAGAATAAGAATTCTCTAAAAAATCCTAATTTTGTATAGAATGACCCTCTCATTAAAAAAATCTCAAAAAACAACAAAAAAACCTCTTCCAAACAAATAGCTTGAGGTCCACGCATATCCAAACTTTCAGGCAATGCTGTTTGTGGTAGCGTAACAAATTGTTGAGTTCTTTTAGGTTTGCTTGTATGCTCGGCTAAAAAAAGTTCTCGAAGAGTTTGGGAAAGAAAAGGAATTCCGGCTTCTGATGGAGACAATTCTTCCTTTAAAAAATTAATTTATTTTGAGAGAAAATTAAAAGAAAACCCTTTCCAAAAAAGGAAATGAATGCAGAGTCACACGTATCAACAATCCATCAAACAAGGAAATCACAATTGAATTTTCTGTTGCAATAGAAACTAAGGCATCGTTTTGTTGGGCATAAACTGATTCGTTTATTAACTTGAAAAAAATTTTAAATTAAAAAATTTTTAGGAAAATTCCTTGCCCTGTGCCCTTGGAAAATTTTTTTAATTTTCTGTCTTAAAATCTCAAAAAAATTTCGGCCGTGCCCGTTAAAAATTTTTTAAAAAATTCGAAAAAAACCTGTGAAAGTATATCTTTACAAATTAAGGTATCCTGTGCCCAAGGAAGTGCCTGCTTCCAATGAATATGTTTTATTTGGTCTTCATTTATTGATTGTTGGATAGGTCTGTTTTTGTATAATAAAAGGGCACTTTTTTCGTCATCTAGAAATTTTTTTATAATTTAAAAATGGTGAGAAAAACATAGAAAAATAATTAGAAAGAATATTTAGAAAGGTAAAAAATCTTTGGACCGCAGCGGGTTCGAACCCGTACCCCCTCTACCCAATGAAAAATTAGCATGTCCACTTAACCAAAAGTACAAAAATTTTTTAAAAAGCAAACCAGGTTCAATTAGCACAACAAGTTTCGATCTAAAACACAAATTGTGTGCAATATTAACTCCAACATAAGAAGGATTGTTAAAACGCACAATTCCAAGCTGTCGAGAAATTTGTGTTTTTTGAAAAACATCAAAAATTTCTTGTGAAGCAAATTTTGGGACATCTATTTGGAGGTAATTAAATAAATTTTTTAATTAAAAAAATACAAGTTTTATAGCCAAGATCCCCATAAATGGTTGAGCCACTTTTTCGAACGCGCCAATTTTCGCGTAATTCGCGGAGCTCCTTAAAGAAGATAAATTTTTTTAATTTTATTTTTATCAAGTTTTTGGGTATCCCACAAATCCCCCTAATTTGAGTCTCGACATAGTTGTCAGACTTTCTTTTTCCTCGATTCCCCTGTGACATATTCAAATGAGAAAAAGAAAAGGAAGTCTGACCATTATGTACATTTTAAGGAAACCTCCGACTGAGACTCAACCTAGAGGTTGGGCGGGATATCCAAAAAGTACCTTGCTTTTCATCTTTTTAAATTAAAGAAACCTTTGTAAAATTCCCCTCTCCAGTATCTACAGGTGTCACAACCACTTGTTGTCGATATTTAACCATTTTTTCGATGAGACGTGTGGCATCGATTAGTGCCTAAGAAAATTTTTTTGAAAAAGTTTTTTAAGAAAAATACCCTTTTCCGAGTACATAATTGATAAGTCTTTGAATATGCAATTTGTTCGTGTTCTGGCATGTCATCCTGAATTAAAGCGTTCACTGATGGTGATAAATAATATGTTCGAGAAGTGATCTTGAGAGCGTCTAAGAGAATATGTACTTCTTGTAAAGCGTTGCTAAAATTTGGAAAAAAATTTTGAGAGGTTAGAAAGGGTGGGAAAAGAGTATGAAAATATTTAGAAGAAATATTTGGAAGGGAAAAAAATGTTTGGACCGCAACGGGTTCAAACCCGCACCCCCAATACCTTGTGAAAAATTAGTGTGGTCCACTTAACCAAAAAATAAAAAAATTTGTTGACAAGTTAGAAAGGGTGGGGAAAGCGTATTAAAATATTTAGAAGAGTCTAAAATAAGTTTAAAATCCTCGGACCCCAACGGGTTCGAACCCGCACCCCTTCTACCTAATGAAAAATTAGCGTGTCCACTTAACCAAAAAATAAAAAGTATGGAAAAATAACAAACTGTAAATGTTTCCCAACAGCAGCCCACGGACCAGCAACAGGTTCATGAATATTTAAAGCACTTGGAGTTTTAACAGCCTCACTCTTCTTTTGGTTGTCATCTTTTGCTTCACCCTCAGAATCATCAGAATCTTCATCTATTGGAGCTCTATCCAAACTAGAATCATTTCCTACAATTTTACGCCATTTTATTCTACGAGCATTTTTTCTGAGAACGTCTTTGAAATCACTAGGTCTTTAAAAAAATTAAGATAATTTTAAAAAATAATCCAACAAACTTTATATATTTTTCAAAGCCGTCGTAAGTAATTTCTTGAATTTTCCATTCACTTAAAGGCTCGACACATATTTGTACTCCATTGTTACTATTGCTGGTGCTTTGTCCATACATTTATTTAATTAAAATCTGTAAAAAAAATTTTTTTGTGTAAATTTAAGCTGGAGCAGTTCAGTCGATTCCCGGCTCTATAACTCTTAAAGATTTGGATAATCTTTACTATTCCTGGTACCAGTGGATATAGAATTAAATAAACTACAAAATACCAAAAAATCAGAATTTTTGAGTGATCGGCAGAAAAGTTATGGTCAAAAAGCTGAAGCTCGTTCGAACGAAATTTAAGCATCCGCGAACTCTTTTGGCATTGTTTTTGGCAAAATGTGCTATTAGAAAATTTCGGTAGGGGACACATGTGTACCGCCGTTTGTGTACCGCCGTTTGTGTACGGCCGTTTGTGTACCGCCACTTGTGTACCTGGCCATTTGTGTACCGGCCGTTTGTGTACCGCCGGTTGTGTACCCACCCAAAGGGGGACGCTTGTGTACCCGCATTATTTTTTAGATTTTTTTATTTTTATCTTCTTCATCAATTGTTTATTTTAATTTTCTTTAGTGTAGAATGGAGGAAACAATTAAAAGCAACAAAGGAAATGTAAAATATGAGCACAATGGATTTTTATACGTATTTCACAAATTCAACAAGGATGGCGACATCAAATTTTGGAGGTGTGAATTTTGCAACACCAATGATTTTACATGTAAAGGGCGACTTCATACTGATCTTCAAGGAAATGTTCTGCGTCAAGTGGGTGAACACAATTGCCCCTCGGGTGCTGAGAACATCGGGGCGAAACGTATTATAACAACAATTAAAAAAAGAGCAATTGAAACAATGGAAACACCAGCAATCCTTAGAGCCAATACGCTGCAAAATGTTCCAACGCCAATTCTCGCTCAGGTACCAAATAAACAGGCAGTAAAGAAGGTAAAACTTTAAACAAAAAGCAAATAATGAAAATATTTTTAAGATAATTAAACGGGCTAGAACAGAGATAGAGGCGCCAGTTGCTGTTCCCTTGAATCTTGAAGATCTACAAATTCCTCAACATTACCAAATCTACATGAGAACAGAGGCTGTTGGAGAACAATTTCTGCTAGCAGATAGTGGTGTTTATATTGAGGGTGGTAGGCAGCACAGGTTTAATTATTTGAATTTTTAAAAATTATAAGCCCATTAATTTAGGATTTTGGTGTTTGGTAGGGAGTCCTATGGTGCATGGTCAAGGGAAATGAAGGAGATTTTTGTTGATGGCACTTTTTCCATAGCGCCGAATTTTTTTAGTCAAATTTATGCAATTTTAGCAAGGTTTACTATTTTAATTTCTTTTATTTCCTTTTTTTATTTTAAAAACAGGAGGCACAACTGGGTCCTACCTGTTCTCTATTGTCTTCTCAGCAACAAGAGTCAGGCAACTTATGAGCGTATGTGGGTGCTTATACGCAATTTTTGGCCTGATTTTGAACCAAACTCGATCAGCATGGACTATGAAGCGGCTGCTATCAACTCAATCAGGGCCATTTTTCCAATGTGTGAGATTAGAGGATGCCTGTACCATTTAACTCACAATTTGAAGAAGAAGCTTGCGGAAGAAGGCTTAACACAAGTATATTTTTATATTTTTGTTGATTTTATTTTTAAAATTAGCGTTATCGGACTGACGCCGAATTTGCGGTCATGTGTCGTATGATAACTGCTGTTGCTTTCCTCCCTATACAAGATATCTCAATTGGTGTTATGGCTCTTGATTCAGGATTTATGCCACATGAATTGGATCCTATAATTGATTGGTTATTTTAAGATTTTTTTACACTTATTTTTATTTTTTAGGTTTGTCATCAACTATACAGGCCGATTGCGAATAAATGGTACAAGAACAGAGGCTCGTTTTCCGCCCGATATTTGGAGTGTTTATCACAGAACATTAGATGGGGATAGTAGGACGAATAATTTTGCTGAGAGCTCACATCGTCGTCTACAGCAAGCATTCTCCTGTTGTCATCCTTCAATTTGGAAGTTTGAATTTATCTTAATTTTATTTTTTATTTAAACTTGTATTTTTAGATTCATTGACACATTGAAGAGGGAACAAAAATCAAGGGATGCTGATATGGCCAAATGCATTTCTGGTGAGGAGCCTCCAAAAAAGGCTAGACGTTACAGGGAGGCTGATGCTCGAATCCTAAACATTGTTGGCAATTATATTCCAATCAATCAGGGAAATCCTTTTCAACTCGACCCTAACCAACATTTTCATTTTCAACCTATAATTGATTTCTTGCGAGGCATTGCTTACAATTATCAAATGGACCAGTGATAATTTGATTTTTTATTATTTTTTATTAATTAGTGATTCAATGTTTTTTTGATTTTAGTCTTTAATATTTTTGCGTGATAAAATGATTATTTTTTATTTTTAAATACCATCTGTAGTCCTTCGTCTGCCCTTGGACATAAAAAATCTAAAAAATAATGCGGGTACACAAACGTCCCCCTTTGGGTGGGTACACAACCGGCGGTACACAAACGGCCGGTACACAAATGGCCAGGTACACAAGTGGCGGTACACAAACGGCCGTACACAAACGGCGGTACACAAACGGCGGTACACATGTGTCCTGTTCCCGAAAATTTAATTGACAAAAGATTCCAACACGAGTGTAGTTTGCTTCTCTGCTGTCTCTTCTTTTCTAGTGTACACTCGCATCTATTTTTCTTTAATTCTTCTTTCTCTATTATTTTTAAAAAAATATTTAAGCTGTGGCTTGAAAAAGGTAAACAATTTTTTTCATTTTTTTCTGTTTTGTATTTATTTTTTTAGTGGTTATGTTCTTTAGAGGAACAACTGTGCGCGTTTTTAAATGTACTTTTAGTCGTTGAGTGAGTCTATTAGACTTGTAAAAGATCAATAAAGGGGAATTTTTATTTTAAAAAATTCCTTCTTTGACTAGCACACTTTAATTATGACACGTCACATTTTTATTTACCCTAAAAACAACGATTACAATGATTTGTGTGACACGTCAAGTGTTTCCCTATATGAGGAAACTGTCCAAAAAGACCAAAAAAGACTAAGAAAAATGTCGGCGACCGCCACGTATTTTTAGTTAAATTTCCCACATTTTTTCTCCTTTTCCATACTTTCACCTTTACACATTAAAATGCAACAGAGAGATAACAAAATATGTATTTGTAATGTGAGACTGATTAATTTACTTGGCTATAAGAGGAGACCTTTTTTCTCCCTAAAATAAACTCACATTTTTTTCTTCTTCCCCCTTCTGATTTTTTTCCTTCCCTTGACTTTCCCCTTCCCTTTCTTTCACTTCCTCCCTTTTTTTATTATTTTTGTACTTTGTTCGCGATTTTTGTTTTCATGCTTTTTATCATTTAATCTTTTTATCATTGATCATTTTTCTAATAATTACCCATTTTTTCAGTCAGAAATATGGCAAATACCAGTGCTAACGTCGACGGCTCCCCACACCAACCCACAAATGGAATCAATTCCAAATTTCCATCACCACCAAAAAAGCCGTCGAGTAAACGACCACCAGGTTCCCGTTCAAAATGGTCTCAATGTTCTACACCAGAAAAGTTTTGTTGGTTAGCGGCAATTCCTTTTCGAACGTTGCTCTGTTTGGTGAATATTTTCTGTTTTGTGTTTGCCTACTTTGGTTTTATGCTGCCTGTGCTGTGGGCAAGAAAGTTGTGGCCGAGATTTTATTGGGGATATGAAGGGAAGCTTTATATGTGGCTGCAAGCTTTTGTTGCGTATTGGGGATATACTGCAGGTTTTTTTTTAATTTTTTGGTACCCTTGTGGGTAATAGTGTCGTTTCCCAGCCCCCTTTTTTTCCTCCCAATTTTCTACCTTATGTTTGTACGGAATGGTCAAATTTTCCCCTTTCTTTCATCAAATTTGCCTTTCCCTATTTTGCCTAAAAACAATCAAAAAAGATTAATTTTTTATTCATTTCTTTCACAAGGATAAAAAAGTGAGACATGATGCCAAAAATTATAAAAAACATTTTCAATATTGCCAAATCGTTTTCGCCACATAAATTCCGGGAGATAACTTTTATAGGTTTCAGTGTTGTTGCCAGCTTGATGTCTGAATTTTCGCCATGCATCGAAATCATTATCACTCAAACGTAATTTTTCATATAAATCAATAGGTTTGAAATTCTTTAGTTCTTCCATTTTTATTAATTGGGAAAATGATTCTTCTCATTACTCAAAATATGGAAAGGCAAATTTGATGAAAGAAAGGGGAAAATTTGACCATTCCGTACAAACATAGGGTAGAAAATTGGGAGGAAAAAAAGGGGGCTGGGAAACGACACTATTACCCCCTTGTGTTATCTTAAACCGTGTTTTTGCGGACATATTTTTGCTGACTCATAATGGTCAGATATAGGAAGGAAAGTCATTCCGACTCAAAATATCACCCACCAATCCCTTTTTTGAAACAGTGAATCGAAAAATGGATATTTGGTGATTTGACCATTATGAGACCATTGTCATGTCCGCAAAAGCTGGTGTGGGTAGCCCACATTTACATTTTTAATCTTAAAAATTTTTATTTTGAAGATTATGATGTTTATGAGTATGGAGACGATATTCGCAAATATGCTGCGAAGGGAAGGGTTTTGGTTATAGTCAACCATCAAAGCTCTGCTGATGTCAATATTTTGTTTACTGTTCTGCAAACTAAAGGAGTTGCTACTAGAAAGGTTTTTAATTTATTTTTGAGAGGGTTTAAGTCGTAATTTTATGAAAGGTTTTTAACAGATTCCTTGGTGTATTGGATAGCGATTTGGGGTGCCTAACTTAGGGGTCATGGGTTCGAGTCCCGCTGTTGGAAATGTTTTTTGTAAGAATCCAAAATTTTTTTTCAATAAATTCGGACCTTCTAAGGATTTAAAATTAAGTTTCTAAAATTTTTAGACAATTTGGCTGATGGATGTTATGTTTCGTTGGACGCCTTTTGGTATTATTGGCCAGATGCATGGAGATTATTTTATTCGTCAAGGCAAAGCTTCGAGGGAAAAGGAATTAATTAATTTAAAGAAGCATTTGAGAAAGGTTTTTTAATTTCTAAAAAAAATTTTTAAATAATTTTTAGGTCTTTTGGGATAGAGACAGGCGTTGGGTTATTCTATTCCCTGAAGGAGGATTTTACTATAAGAGGAAGGAGGACAGCCAGAAGTTTGTTTATTTTTTGAATTTTTGTGGTATTTTGTTACTCTCATATTTTACGGAAACCAAGAAAACCCGCAGAATTTTTTCCTTTTTTTTCTTGACAATTTGTATATTATTTTAAAAGCCCTCTACCATTTTTGACCATTATGAGACCATAACTTGTTTTACAATTGAGAACCTGTTCGAAGAGCTCTTTCTAATGATAGGATATTTTCTTTATAAACGGGAATTTTTTTTTTGATTTTGGTTTACGTAAACTTATAAGAGTACCTGTATTTTGTTAAGGAATCCTTAAGAATTTTCATCTTAAAGGTACGGACGTAAACACGGTTTCCCTCACTTGGAATGGTGCACTCTTCCACGCATTGGAGCCATCAAAGCCATTTTAGAGGAAGTTGGCCCTCGTGGAGATGATAGTGATAGCGGTGTGGATAATGGACGTACGCGAAAAGTTCGCTCTGGAATTCAGTTACTTAAAGATGCTGTTGGGGAAATTCGTGAGAAGAAACATGTTAAAGGTTTTTTGAATTTTTTGGAAATTTAAATTTGTTTTTTTAAGAAACGCGTCCTCCTATCACTCATATTCTCGATGTTACCATTGCCTATCCAAACGGACATCCTTTGAGTATTCTTACTTTGTGCTTTGGAACGAGGGAACAATGTGGGTATTTTAAATTTTTTGGAGATACTTTGAAGTCGCCTTCCTTTTTTCTTTTTCTTGAATCATTTTCAGTTTTTTTCCTTTTTTCCTTTCCGTTATTCCTCATAATTAGGGCTGGGAACCAGATCCGAAAGATTGAGTTGGGCTTCTAATTTTGGCCCAGAAATGACTCGGTCGGGCCGGCCTAAAAAGAAACTTGAACGTCGGCCCGTCTCGTAAACCCCAAACCTACTCATAATGTAAAACAGGTATAAAAATGTTAGAAAATGGCAGGAAATATTAAGGAATAAATTTCGAGGGTGGACTTCTAAAGTATTACCAAGCTTTTTTGAGTCACGTTTTATCACACATTTTACAAAAAATATTTTTTTCAGGCGATATTGCCGTCCATTACAAGATGCATTCCGTTGATGAGGTTTTCTTTTAATTTTTAGGTTCAGAAAATTTCTAATAATTTTTAGGTCCCATTCAATGATGATATTAAACTTCGTGATTGGCTTTATGCTCAATATGCTAAAAAAGACAAACTTTTGGGTTTATTTTTGATTTGGAAATTTTTTAATAAAATTTTATTTTGAAGCCAATTATTATCAAAATGGAGAATTTGAGCCAGACGAGCCTGGAGAACGTATTGTCTTTTCGTGGACGCGTATTGTTGGGCATTGGGCTTTTTGGTTGACAAGTTTTTTGATTCAATGCAAAATTTATTATTTGGTGCTACGCTTTATTTTTTCTTTTTTGATGTCTATTTAGGAAGGATTATGAGAGGTTTTTATATAATTATTTACTCCAAAAATTATTATTTTTTTGTATAATCCCAATGAGGCATAAAAAACTCTGAAAATTTAAGAAGGGGTTTTTAATATTAAATGCATCAATCACCGGTTTTATTTTCTCTTTTTTCTCTTTTTTCTCTTTTTTTTTAATTTTTGAGGGATAGAGGTTGGGTTGACTGATAGGAGAAAAGGAAGTTGGTTATTTGGTGGAAAATTTCTGGGATTTGTTTTTTAGAAAATTGGGCTTTTGAAAGGTTCTCATGTCAGGTTTAGGAGTTTGGGTCTAAAAAGAGACCTTGATTTTTTGTGTATTTTATCGGTTAAACCCGGCTCATCCGTACTTTTAATAAAAAAGGGGAGGGTCAGAATTTTTAAGAAAATTTCCTTTAATTTTTGAATTCCTCTATTTAATTTTGGAGCTTTTTTTGAATGTTCTGACCCTCCACCTCTTTCTCTCTCAATTCAAATTTATTTGTACTCTGGCCTTTGTGCCGTTTATACATATTATTCTATATGTAGTTTTGATCTTCCTTCAAAAATGACCTAAAAAAATTTTTTTGAAAAATATTTTCCGTTTCCTTTTTCTCCTTTTTTTGCTTTTATAGCAATAGTGAAAATGTTTAGACTTTTTAGTTGGTGCAAGAAACAAAATTTTTTTAAAGAAATCTTGGCCCTCTTTCACGATTATTTTTTTGTAATTTTTAAAGAACTTTTTTTGCACCTATACCTCTCTCATTATTATTTTTCTTCTCTTTCCGAATTTTCTGTTTCAAAATTTTTTTTTGAATTTTCTTCTCTTAAATATTTCGCTCATAATTAATTATTTCCAAAATTTTTTTTTTATTTTTTCCTTCTCTTATTCTCAAAAAAATATTTTTTGGCTTTTTAAAAACCAAAAAAGAGAGCTGTAAAAAGACCGATTATGTATTTCACGACAATTTTTGTTTTATTGAAATAATCAAAAAAACAAACAACCATTTTATTGTATTTAATTAGAATTATAAATAATTTTTGTTTAAATTAATATTTTTTAATTAATTTTTTAATTAATTTTAGGTAGATAATTTAAAGATTGGTTAATGTAGTGTGTGGTTAAGTGTGTTTGTGTTGGATTTGTAAATTGGAGGCGTGTGGGTTCGATACCTTGTGTGGGTGAAGTTTTTTGGAGCTATATTTTAAACATTATTTTGATAGTTTTTGATGTTTTTTAAGGCCGAAAATTTTTTTAGGGCTCTTGTGTCCCCTTTTATAATAAAAACAAAACGCCAGAGAATTTATTTTTCTTTGTTTGATTTTTGATCTTTAATTTTTTATTTTTTTTTCAACACAGCTGATATTTAAATAAATATTTTTTGGAAGCATAATTAAGTTGAAAAAATACTTTTAAATATTTTTTGAAGCGGTTGAGCTCAGGTTTATTTAATAAAAAAAATTTTTTTTAATTAAAAAAATTTTTTCAGAATTTTTTAAAAATGCCAGAGACTGCATCAAAAACTTCAAATCATCAAAGAATAAAAGAAATGATGTTACATTTGTCACCAGAAAAGGCTGAAATACCTTATAATGTTTGTTTTGGTGAGGTTTATTTGAAAATTAATTTTTTAATTTTTTAAAATTTTAAAAAGATGATTCAAACAATTTGTGGGTGGCTAGTAAAGGTGGTTTATTTAAATTTGATATTTCTACAAAAAAGATACTTTTCTCAATGATAAATGATTTTCCAAAGAAGATTGCTGCTTATCCGCAAATTTTGATGTATAAAAATAAGGTTTGTAAATTTTTTCGGAATTTTTGGGACGAGGATTTTAGTGAGTTTTCTATGCAAATTTAGGGCTAGGAAGTTCCAAATTTTTGTGATTTTTTTTAAGTTTTTTTGTTGTGAGGGTTCGGGTGATTTTTAAGATTAGGAACATCTTTTAGAATTTTTTGATTTTTTTCTTTGGGGGTTTTCTAGTTTTAAAATTTTATTGATTTAGGTGGGCTTGATTACTTTGATTCATTGCTGACGTTTAACTAAATTAGGCGAACCTTGTGGGAAAATAATTTGAAAAATTATTTCTAATAAATTTAAAAAATTTTTAAGGTCTAAAAATTTATTAAAATTTTTTCAGTTAATTTATGTAACTGGTGACTTGGAATTGATGCAATTTCGAATTCTTGATCAACTAGGCAACATTGAACATGAAAGCTTTATTGAAGGAAAAGTACAAAGTTTGGCTATAACTAAACTTGGAGATTTATTTATGACAAAACAAATGAAGTCTGCGTCTCCTGAACTTGAAAAGAATAATTCTGGAATGGATGAATCGATTATTTGGAGGTTTTTTTGAAAGAAAAATTTTTTGAGAATTTTTCAAGCTCAAAAAATTAACGTTTGTTCCAGGTTCGATGCCTGGCGATTGTTGGAGAAGTTTGCCCCATGTGTAGCACTTAAGTAGATGGCAAGCCCCAATGGGGATGATACTAGGATATAGTTTTGTTTGTAAATCCAGAGACGGGGAGGGTTGACTTATCTACTATTACTAACAAGCCTATGAAATCCCAAAACTCCCCCACTCCTTCTCTTCACAAAATTTTATTTTCAGATCACACATCGATTTCCCTTCAGCCTGGGATGAATTTGCTTCTTCATTTGATGAATGTTTTCAATGTTTATGTTTATTGGATGATGAAACATTAGCAGTCTCTGTTGCTTCTATTCCTGTCAATATTTATTCAAAGTTTGTATTTTTATTTTTTTTTTGATTTTTAGTTGATATGGGTCAAAAGGCTAGGATGGTGATGGTTACCCGAAATCTAGACCTTTTTTCAGCTTGACTCGAGAAATTTTCGGAGACCCACCTGAGATCTGACTTGAGTTTTTTCTCAGCCCGATCTATCCCTGTTAATAGACTTGCCTAAACCAATTAGATTTTAGGTCGTACAATTTTTTAGCCAGGGTTTACTAAAATTTGAGATCTTGGACTATGCCAATTTATCCTATTTTCCAAATTTTCCCCTACAAAAAATTTTTTTCTTTTAGACAGTCAATAAAATTGTTAAATACCAAAACTGGTCAATTAATCGGAAAACCATTTTCTTCATGTGGAAAAGAAGCGAGCCAAATATTTTTCCCTCGTTGTATGCGTCCTTTCAACAAGTCTCAATTTTTATTAATAATGGATAAAACTGGAAGATTTTTAAAATTTGATAAAAATGGACAATTTATTGAAATTTGTGCAAAAATTGATGATTATATTGGTAATGGTTTTACATTAAAAAATGGAGAGGAGGAAGCTGTTATTGCTTGTAGTGGAATTGTTTTGGATGAGGTTTTATTTTTAATTTATTTTTAAAAAAGGAAGGGGAGAATGGTTGTTAGTTAAGATTTAAGAAATAGAAAATGGGACGTGTTACTCGTTTCCTGAAAACCGGTCCTTTTTTCGATCCGAGATTCGAAACCCGATTCGAAGAAAAATTTTTAAAATCCAAAACCTTGACCCAATTTTCTTTTTTCCCTCTCAACCTGGCCCTCCATGTTCAGGAATTAAGATAAAATAGTAAAATCCTCCTGTTATTCATACTGAACCGAATAACATAAGAGTTTTTGGTTCAGTCTCGGATATCCGAAACTGTCCGACAACTTTATAGGGGAGAATCGATCGCTTTATCTTTTTTTTAATTTTTCAGAAAGGCGAAAGTATTTGTGATGATTGGATAGAAGCAATTAAATTGGATGGATCTAGATGGACAGAAGAATAAGAAAAAAACTTTTTTAAATAAAATTTGAGAGGTCTTCTATGAAGACTAGATTTCACTTAAAAAATTAGGTTTTCTTTTTTTAATTTAATTATAAAATACATAATAATTAATTTTTTTTAATAAATATATTTTTAAATTATTTTTAATTTTTTTTCGATTTTTTTAAAGTTGATTTAATATTTCAACTAAATTATCTTTTATTTTTTTTTAAATTTAATTTTTAATTTAAAAAATTTTGGGGTCATTTATAGTCTTTTCTGTTTCCGATAAGTAATTAAAAATTAATTTGCTAACAAGTTCGGTTGTGGTGTAATGGTTAGTGCGCTAGGTTTTGTGGTGGGGGAGGCGAAGGTTCGAGTCCGCTTGGTGCCTGTTAGTGTTTAATTTTGTTTTTCTTTATTTTTTAACGTTCTAAATATTTTTTTAAGGCTTGTAAAATTTTTTTAAATTTTTTTCTATGATTCATCCCTTTTTCCCTTTAATTTTGCAAGATAAAAATGTATATTTTTTGGGAAAAGTTAATCGTAATATTTTTTTTATTGCAAAGTCAACTTTTCTCTGTTTGTATGTACAAATAAGCAGATTAAGAAAAAAATATTATTTTTATAATAAATCGTTGCAATCCTCCCTCTCTTTTTTAATATATTAAATCAATAATAAGTGTCTTCTCCATATATTTTTATTTATTTAATTTCCTCACCCCATTAAAAAAAACAAAAGAATTTTATTAAATAAGCATAGGCATTGTTGCGTTGGGAAACCAGAATTTTTTAGGTTTAATTTCTGATTTAAAATATTAATTTTCAGAATTCTAACTATAAAAACAGAAATTCAGATAATTCAGATTTTTACGTTTTAAAATCAGAATTTAGCCATCAGAATTTAAAATTTCAGAAAACCAGAAATTTTAGAAAAACCAGAAATCAGAATTTTTAAAAACCAGAATTTCAGAAACCAGAATTTCAAAAAACCAGAATTTTTAGAAATTCTGATTTCAAAAAATCAGAATTTCCAGAAAATCAGAATTCAAAAACCAGAATTTATTTCGTTTAAAAATCAGAATTTCTAGAAAATCAGAATTATTGACCCAAACGTCTTTTACCATTTTGTCTATATTTATTATGAAATATTTTACCTTTAAATCTTTAAAATATCTAAACCTAAACTCTTCAAAACCCCTAATTTTAAAAATGTCCATTTTAGCAATTATTTAATTTTAGTCAACTCTTAAAAATTAAAAAAATCATTTTCCAACACAATTATTTTTTTAAATTCTTTTTTTTTTTCGTTAAATAAATACACGTGTATTTAACAATAAAAATCCTATCAAAGAATATAAAAGAAAATTTTTGAGCATTTAAATAAAGAAAATTCTTTCCTCCTTTTTTCCCCGCAATAATTCGATATATCGTTTTTCCGTGATCTCTTTTCCTTTAATTTTTCCTTGTTATTTTTCCCTTCACATCATTCTTTTTAAATTTATTTATTTTTTCTATTATTGCTACTTTTCTCGCAATTTTTCTCGTTTTTTCGTGTTTGTTAAAGACCTCCTCCCCCTTCTCCGCTTTTCTTTGCCTCCATATTTTTCCCAAATTTTGGGGGAATGAAGCAAGGGGGGAATGATTTTCTTTTCTTGCTTCTCATCTTTTCTGCGCTAACCCCGAAAACAATCAAAAATTTTTTTTTCTTGAAAAAGTTGTTGTTCTACTTTAAAAATTTATTATTAATTTTTAGCGAGAAAAGGAAGAGAGTTATTTTTTTAATTAAAAAATAAATTTTTGGGTGGATGACTCATTCACTTTTTAATTTGTTTAATCTCTCTTCTTTTCACTCTAAAAATTAATAATATTTATTGTGTACTTTTCCTGATTTTTTTTTAAATTTTTTTTATTTTTTGGACATATTTTTGTGTGTTGAAATACCTTAATATTTTGTGTATATTGTTAAAAAGTATTAACTCTTTTGCAAAATTAATTTTTATTATTATTATTTTTGTTGGTTGGTTAACCCTTCCCTACCTCCCCTCTAACCTCCCTATTTTATTTAATATTTGCTAAAGTATTTCATCATTTTTACATATTTTTATTTTTTTTTTAGTTATTTTTGCCACGACTCAATTTTTATATATTTTTATTTTGTTAATTTTTCTTATATTTTTTGATTATTTGTCTCAAATTTTTAATCAAAAATAAATTAGGTAATTTTAGATAAGAAAAATATGGACCCTATACGCAAAAGAGGGCGCCTTGATTTTTTTCATCATTTTTTCCTAACTTAATATAAAATAATGGTCAGTCTTTTCTTCCTCGTTCAATTCCACTCTTTTTACCTGTGGCATTTTCAAATGAGAGGACAGACAAAACACGGACGAACACATAAAGACAAAACACAGACCGACTCGGACAGAAAACTCGGACACAGACAAAACACGGACCGACAAGGACAGAAAACTCGGGCACAGACAAAACACAGAAAACACGGACTCGGACAGAAAAACACGGACTCGGACAGAAAACACGGACGAAGACGGACAAACAAAACACGGATGGACTCGGACAGACAAACACTCGTGTCTGTCCGGGTGTGTATTTTTGTTTGTCCTCTCATTTGAATATGCCACAGGTAAAAAGATTGGAATTGAACGAGGAAGAAAAAACTGACCATTATTTTATATTAAGTTAGGAAAAAATGATGAAAAAAATCAAGGCGCCCTCTTTTGCGTATAGGGCCAAAATATGTATATTCAGTTGACTATTATTTTTGATTTATTTTTTCTGTTTTTCTTAAAATTGATTTAATTTTTTTTTGTTGCAAATTTTGAGAGGATTTTTAAATAGAAATTTTGTGTTTGTTCTATTTTTCAGTTATTTTTTGAATTTCTGGCGTTCTGTATTTTTTTATATTTTTTTGAGTTTGTCTTGTGATTTTCTCTAAATTTTTTATAATTTTTAGGTTCTCTTGGAGGAGAAATAATTTTAATAATTTAATTAAATAATTTCAAAAAGAAAATGTTTTCTTGGCTAGGCAAAAACAACGAGAAAAAAGAGCAAAATGTATTGGAAACTGTAAGTGAAGGACTTCGAAAAATTTACAAAGAAAAGCTTTTTCCATTGGAAGAATTTTATAATTTTCATGATTATCATTCGCCAGCATTAGGTTTTTTTGAATATTATTTTGAAAAGAAATTTAAATTTCTTTTTTTAGATGACCCCGACTTCAATGCAAAACCGATGATTTTGTTGGTTGGACAATACTCGACAGGAAAAACAACGTTTGAATTTTTGTTTATTTTTGAAATATATTTAAATGTTGGGGTCTACTTGGGTGTGATAGGAATCCATTTTTTCATTTTCTGGTACTTTTATTAACACTGGTTGAGTTATAGGTCAGGGAGGTTCTTTCGCGTTCGTTTTTTCCTTTTCTGTCTTCCTTCTTTTTAAAATTCAGAAAGTCGCATAGCTTAAAAACTCTTACCTATTAGAAGTGTTTTAATCACTTTGGATTCCACACTTGAGTTTAGACTAGATTTAGTTAATTTTGCGGTTTTTGGATAGTGATCCCCTAGTCCTTGCAAGTAAAGTTGGCCGATGGTTGGAAATCTTCGGATAACCGGATCCAAACTGAAAATTAAAGGATATTCGGCCTTGTTGGGATCCAGATCTAGTCCTTCCGAGTGGTCTTAACCAGCTATTGGTCTTTGGGCCTTTTTTCAAGGGTTGACGGCTTCAAACCCGAATATTTTTAAAAATCTTTCTGGTGACTGAGAACCCTTAATCCTATTTATTATAATTCTTAAGCAATTAAAAAACTCTAACAAAAATGTTCTTTTTAAGCTTCATCCGTTTCCTGCTTGAACAAGAATTTCCTGGAATGCGGATTGGACCTGAACCGACTACTGATAGATTTATTGTTGTAATGAATGGAGATGGTTTTTATTATTTTTCTAATTTTATAAAATTTTTATTTTTTAAGAAGTTGGTGTTATTCCTGGAAATGCACTTGTAGTTGACTCCACTAAACAATTTCGTGCTTTGACAAAGTAAATTTTAATTGTTTTTGTAAAGGTTATGGGGTTATAAATTGAAATTTGATTAAGTTCGGCGGTGGGGTAATGGTTAGGGTGTTGGTTTTGTGGGGTGGTATGGCTCGGTTCGAATCCTCCAGCTGCCCGTGTTTTTTAAAAATTTTTTAACGCTTAAAAATTTTTTAAAAAATTTATAAAAAATTTCAAAAAATTTTTTTAAAGGTTTGGAAATGCTTTTCTCAACCGTTTTCAATGTTCAATGTTGAAAAACGATGTTCTCAATTCCGTTACAATTATTGACACACCCGGAATTTTGAGTGGAGAAAAGCAACGTATAGACCGTGGTTACGATTTTTCTGGTGTTTTGGAATGGTTTGCTGAACGTGTTGACCGAATTATTTTATTATTTGATGCACACAAATTGGACATTTCTGATGAATTTAAAAGATGTATTGAGGCACTTTCGGGTTTTTTTTGATTTTTTGGAGGTTTTTAAATATTTTTTGTAGGCAATGAAGACAAGATTCGCATCGTTTTGAATAAATCTGACATGGTTGATCATCAACAATTGATGCGTGTATATGGAGCATTGATGTGGTCACTTGGAAAGGTTTATTTTTTTTAATTTTGGTTGAATATGTGATGGTGCTTTTGGGTGCTTGTGTTTTTGTTGGCTTTAACTTTTTCCTGCCTTTAATTTTCAAAAATTTTTTTATCATCCGAAAGTTCTGAATGTTTCATTCTTTTCCTGTTAGAACTGGTATGATTTTTTTATTTTTCTGTTATCTTCCACCTTTTTTAGGATCATAACACCTTTTTCTTTCAACTTTTTCTAATATTTGATAGCTCTTGTACTTGTTATTTTCCTTATTGGACTTGCTGAACGTGTTGATAGAATAATTTAAACTTAAACGAAAGCTCCCCAGAAGTTGCTGCTGATAGCTCTTGTACTTGTTATTTTCCTTATTGGACTGATAAGAGCTTGATTTTTTAACAGTTATAAGCTTTTATTTGTTCGAAATCGTTATCTTTTGTATTTACTTATAACTTCTTTTGGAATCATTAAATCAGATAGTTGTTTCATGAAAAAGATTCATTACAATCAGAGCTTTCGTTTAAGTTTAAATTGTTGGGATAAATTAAAAACTAAGCAAGTTTTGAACCAAAGAATGCCTATGTTTCCTCCACTATTTTTTAATTTCTCAAAATTTTTTTTTTAATTTTTAAAGGTTTTTAAAACCCCAGAAGTTGCTCGTGTATATATTGGCACATTTTGGGATCATCCTTTACATTATGATATTAATCGACGTCTATTTCAAGATGAACAACACGATTTATTTGCTGATTTACAAGTTTGGAATTTTCTTTAATTTTTAAATCTTTAATTTTTTAGTCTCTTCCAAGAAATGCAGTTTTAAGAAAATTAAATGATTTAATAAAGAGAGCTCGTCTGGCTAAAGTACATGCTTATATCATTTCTGAACTTAGAAAACAGTTTGTGATTTTTTAAATTTTTTTTAAAAATTTTATTGAGTTGGGTTTCTTCCCTTCTTTGTTTATCCTTAAGCCTCTTTCTTGGATCCTTTAACCAACATTTTTTTCTCAAATTAATTTTCGGGGCTTCCTACTGGAAATTTATTTATTGCTGATTCATTGACGCTTTTAAAATCCTCTGAATTTTTTGTTGTCCCTCTGTTTTTCCTTTACTTTCTCTCCCAAAAATCGAAAGTTCGACTGTCCATAACTTGGCTCAAAGTCATTTAAAAATAGAGTTACTTGGCATTAGTAAGTCGTGGATCTCCTATTGAATGGTACCGAAAAAATATCGAATTTTCGTGGACAATGGATGACTTCCCTAGTTTTTCCTTTTAATTTATCCTCTCGAAAATGTTTTTCTTTTCTAAAGAATGCCATCAATGATTGGAAAAGAAAAAAAGAAGAAAGAATTAATTCAAAAATTGGATAAATTATTTGAACAATTACAGGTTTTTTTGAATTTTTAATAAGAAAAAATAATTATCTTTAATTTTAGAAAGAACATGGAATCTCTCCGGGCGATTTTCCTGACATAAACAAAATGAGAGCAAATTTGGAGAATGCAGACTTTTCACGTTTTAATGCTTTAAAACCTCGATTATTGCAAATTGTTGATGATATGCTTGCCAAAGATATAGGTTTTCTTTTAGTCTTTTGTTTTTAAATTTTTTCAAATTTCTAAAAAAAAATTTTAAGTTAAATAGGGAAGGGTCGCTTTGTTTTATTAATTTTTAAGATGAATATTCTTTGGTATTTAGTGTTAATTAATTATTTTCGGTGTATGTGTTCGGTGGCGCATTGGTTAAGATTCTTGGATTTTCTTTGTAGGGGTGTAAGGTTCGAATCTTTTTCGTAGTAATATTTTTCCTTGGTTACTTACATATGTGTTTTTAAAATAACTTTTAAATATTTTTTACCAAAATGACATAAAAAAATTTTTTTCTAATTTTTTTCAAAACAAAATTTTTAGCCAGATTAATGGCCCAAATTCCAAAAGAAGAATCAGATGCTAACAACAAAGTAGTTGATGCTCTAGGTAATCGTTTGGATCAATCAGTACGTGGTGGTGCTTTTGAAGCCGAAACAGAAGCTGCAACTCCATTTGGTTTTGGAAGGGGAGAGGGGGTTGATAAAGGATCAGGTTTATTTTTTTAAATGAATTTTTTGAAATTTTTTCTTCAAAATTTAGATGAAACGGAATGGGTTGTTTCTCGTGAACGTTATAAATTTGACGAAATGTTTCAAGAATTGCAACCTGTGGATGGGAAAATTACAAGTTTGTTTTTGAATTTTTATTTTTAATAATAAAGGGACCTTCCAAACAATGTTGAAACTTTTTATCCTCGATAGGGCTTGATTGATTTTAAAAAAAATAAAGGAATCACTCATACTACCTACAAAGTATCAAAGCGTTGAAGGCCCATAACTCCGTATCCAAAAAAAGCTAAAAGTTGACATTAACCGACTATCCTCTATCGAATGATCCCAATGAAACTAGGAGAATTTAATAAATTGGAAGGTTCTTTTCTAAATGGAGTTGGCGGTTCCTAGTATCCTATCAGCTGGAAACCTCACCTGATATCCGTAAATTTTTGGTTCGGTTATCGGTTCCAGATACCCGAGAGATTTCCCAGGAGCCGCCAACCCTCCTTGTAAAAATTATTTTAATTAAATTTGTTTTTAGGTTCTCAAGCCAAAGTTCATATGGTTAAATCAAAACTTCCCAATTCTGTGTTAGGCAAAATATGGACACTTTCTGATATTGATAAGGTTTTTTAATATTTTTTAGATTTAAATGATTTTTCTGTTTCACAGGACGGCCAATTAGACGCTGACGAGTTTGCCTTAGCCAATTATTTGATTAATCTAAAATTGGCTGGACATGCAATACCTGAAAAATTGCCGAAACATTTGGTGCCTCCATCAAAGTTGGTGGAAAACAATAATAATAATAATGATGGAATGACTAATGGAACTTCATCTTATCCGCGGTTGGATGAATAAATTGAAGAGAGAAGTTGGAGGTTTTTTTCTAATTTTATAAATTTTTTGTCAATATATTGGGGAGGAAAGACTAAAAAGTTAAGTGGTTGTGTGATTCGAATTTTAAAATTTTTTTAAAGTTTTTACTCGTTTTCTCAAACTTTTTTGGACGTTAAAATTGATTCGGAACCTTGGGACATTATTTTGGTTGTTTTTTGAATTTATTGAGTAAGTTTAAAAAATATTTTCCCCGAACGGGTTCGAACCCACGACCCCCTAAGAACACAATTACCTTAAAATCGACAATAAAACACTCAATAAATAATTAAATCACACTTTTTAGTAATTAAATAGTCGAGAAAATCAATAGAATAGATTATTTGTAAAAATAAAAATTAATGCCTCCGAACGGGTTCGAACCCACGACCCCCTAAATTTCTGGTAAGGTTTTTGAAAACGAGTAAAAATTAATTAAATATCCACGCAAATTGTACATGAAAAAATGTGAAGGGATTTTTTGGTCATTTTTACTCTTTTTAAAAATTTCAAATCAAAAATTCTTGACCAAAAAATATTTCCAATTGTTCTAAATTTTCTCTTTATTTTCCCTTTTAATATTCTCGACTTTATATAATTAATGTCTTAATTTCCCCCAATGCTTTATTATTCTAATATAAAAATAGAATTTTACTCTCGCAATTTTTACTACTTATATATAAAGCGTTGATTTGACAATTTGAAATTAGCCGAATAAAAATTTTACAATTGTCGTATTTATAACTAAGAGGCATTCTGTCGTATTTTGAACTTTGTGGCATTTTGTCGCATTTGTAACTAGGATTCATTTTGTCGCATTTATAACCAAGATACATTTTGTCGCATTTATAACTAAGATGCATTTTGTCGTATTTATAACTAAGAGGCATTTTGTCGTGCCAGTAAATAAAATTAAATATTAATTTAAAAAAATCGATATCAATCGATAAAATCAATACCAATCGATAAAATCAATACTAATCGATAATTTATTTTTTAAAAATTCTGAATTTTCAAAAAATCGATATCAATCGATAAATTCAATACTAATCGATAATTTATTTTTAATAATTCTGAATTTTCAAAAAATCGATATCAATCGATAAAATCAATACTAATCGATAATTTATTTTTTAAAAATTCTGAATTTTCAAAAAATCGATATCAATTCATAAAATCAATACTAATCGATAATTTATTTTTTAAAAATTCTGAATTTTCAAAAAATCGATATCAATCGATAAAATCAATACTAATCAATATATCGATTTTTTAATTACAAAATTTGAATTACGACTTTATTCTACATAAAAATATATAAAAATTTTATTTATCACATAAGGCAATTTATTAAAAAAATCAAGAGTCAAGTATAGACTTCAAGTCTGTGGATGAAGCCGTTCTCAAGGCGGAGGGTGATTCATCCAATAAAAATCCTCTATTTGGAGTGCTCTATTAAATAAAAGATTTAAAAATTTAATTTTTGATTTAAAAATTCAATTCAAATTTAAACCTCAATAGGAGGCAAGGCAAGCATTGATTTTGTGTTGTCAACAGATTCTTGTTCTAAGAATCTAATAAATTGTTCGGTCAATGAAACCTCTTTTCTTGAAAAGGGTTGAGGAGAACTGCCAAAAGAGAACCATGAACTGCTTGAAGTTGAAGCACTTATTGCTTTTTGAAGTTGAGCTTGTTCCTGAAAAAATAATGAGTAACTGTTTGACCTCCTAATTTCAATAACGCTAAAGTACTGATCATCAAAAATGTATGATGGCTGTATTATTCGTGGTTGTAGTATCGTGGCCGTATTTTCAGCCATAACTTTTCTGATACTTAACCGATTTAATTAATTTTTACACCAATAGAAAGCTCTGAATGTACTGATTATTTTAGCAAACAGGACTATTTTGATCAGATCAAACTACAAACAGTTAAAGCTGATAAGTGTGCTTAATCGTGATTTTTAGTCTTTATTCAGTTACAACATTAAGTAGAGTGATCTGACCAAAACATTCTGGTCAATTCTGGTCAGATCCCGAAATTAGAGCTTTCGATTGATAAAAAAATTATTTTAAATTTGGTTAACAATCCAAAAAAAATATTTAAAAATTTATTAAAAACAAACAAACCTCTTGACTATACCCCAATATTTTAGCCATAACAATAGCAATTTCAGGTTGTTTTGATTTTTCTGCCATAAAGAAGGATAGAAATAATTGTTTTAAAGTAGAATCGTCAATTTTTTTGGTTGCTGGAGGTTGCTGTGAATTTTTAAAAATTTTAGGGTTTTCCAAATTTAATTCTTGTTGTTGTTGTAATATTCTAAATTCTTCCAAAGAATTTTCTAATTCATCAATCAAATCATTTTTAATTTTTAATTGAGATTCTAAATAATTTAATTTATCCAAATTTGTTGCTTGGGTTAATTGAATTAATTCTTCTTTTTTTTGAAATTGTTGGATTTGTTGTTTTTCTTTCTTTAATTAGAAAAAATAGATACATCCAAGTCCCGACCCTACAACTCATAAAAGGACGAACACTTTTAAATGTTGTTGGTATCATTGGGTAGAGAATAATTGAATCCACTACAAGATACTAAAAAATCAAAATTCAAGACAGCTTGTTAAAAAGTTATGGTTGATAAAGCTGCAAAAAATCACAATTTTCTTTGAAAAATGTTTAGTTTTTAGCCTATAACTTTTTTTTTATCAATTATTCACAAATTTCGATTCTTTAGTATCTTGTAGTCTATTTAATTATCTATCCAATGGTGCCAAAAACATCAAAAAATATTCATCCCTTCTTAAGTTATAGGGCCAGGACTAAACTGCTCTAGGGGGAAAAATTAAAATAAACCCTATTTAAAAATATAAAACCTTTAATTCATCCCTCAACATTCTTATTTCTCCTTCAAACCGAAGTTTTTCACTTTTTTGTTCATCAGCAAGATCCTAAAAAATTAAAATTAAAGGAAAATTTATTTAGACATTTTTTAAATTTGCGGACAAAACTTGCGGACATTTAAGAAAATTTTTTTTAATTTTAAAAATTAATCTTAAATATTTTTTAATTAATCAATAAATAAAAAAACCTTCAAAACAATTTGTAAATTAATTAAAGCATTTTTAGTTTCAGCCAACGAACTTTCCTTTTCATTTAAATTTGAAGTCAAATCCTCCTTTTCTTTTTTTAAATTTTGTAAATTTATTTTTAATTGTTCACATTCATTTTGATAATTTTGTAAACATTTTGACGTTGTAAATTCATCATTTTCATATTTATTTTGAAATTCTCTCAACTGACGGCGTAATTCGGTTTCACGTTCTTCTGCAGCTATTGCTTCTATAAAATTAAAAAATTTTTTTTAAATAAACATAGAGAGGATATAACCCTTCGAGGGGATACTTAAACATATTAAAAATGACGGAAAAATTTTTTTTAAATTTTTTAAAAAATTTTAAAACCAAAAATAAAATTTTATTTCCATAAAAAAGAATTTTTAAACAATTATAAAAATGCAGGCAACCAAAAGGATTCGAACCCATGACCCATCAAGAAGGCTAACCAAACACACTAACCATTACACCACCCGACAACTTATCTAAACTTAATAAAAACCAAACATAAGCATTATAAAAATTAATAAAAAAACCTCAAAATTAAAAATTTCCCAAACCTTTAGAAGAAATTTCCTCAATTCCAAGTAAATGTTCTTTTAAACGTCCCAATTCGCTTTCCAATTTTAATATTCTCCCATTTTTAATTTCCAATTCTTCATTCTTATTTTTATTTTCATTTAAAGACAATTCCAAATTTTTAGAAAATTCTTCCAATTTAAAATAATATTTTTGGCATTCCAAATGTTCATAATCCAATAAAGATTTTAATTCAGAATTGTCTGAAGTTAATGCTGAAAGATCTTTCAAATGCTGAAAAATTAATAATTTTTTTAATTAAATAAAAATAAATTATAATAAAATAAAATTAGGGGAACCAGAGGAAGGAAGAAAATCAGTAAAAAGAGAGAAGAGCTTTCGGGTTCGAAAAGTTCAAAAGTCTTACTAAAAAAGGTCACTGTTAAAAAATTTTTTTCGATTTAAAAAAAGATTTTATGACAATAAAAATCCGAAAAAAAATTCTTAAAAATCGAAAAAAACATTTTTATAAAATTTGCGGACAAAACTTGCAGACTTATCTTTAGACTTATATAATTAGACGGAGTCCACCCCTAATTAATAAAATAAGAATGGAAAAAATAAAATCCATCCCTAATAAATTACCACGTTAAATTAAAAAATAAAAAGAAATTTTTTTTACAAACCCTTTTATTTTCCAGCTCGAAAAATTCAATTTTATCCATTTCCCTCTTTTTAATTTCCTCTTTTTCAAAACAATTTTTTTCTTCAATTTCTTTTAATTTGCTTTCATATTCTTCTTTTAAAAATTTAATTTTGTCATTAAAATCACTTTTAGCCCTTTTATCATCCTCCAATAAAAAATTCAATCCTTCAATTTTTTCTTCCTTTTCTTTCAAAAGATCTTTTAATTTTTCCTGTTCTTCAAATCGTTTCTGGAAAAAAATAAAAAATTTTTTTAAATTTATTAAAAGGGGAAATATTTTTGTTCAGCGTACTCCCACAAGTTTTTAGAGACTTTCTTTGTGGATTAAAAAAATTTCCAACGGATTTTACGCGTATTTATTTATTTTTTCAAGCTTTTTTGAGGGTTGGGATTTACGATTAAAAGGGAACATCGAATACTTTGGACAAAAATTGTGTATTTTTGGTACCAATCGATAGACAACCATCGACTCCCTATTGCAAAGTGATGCGAGTTTTTTTTTTTGCAAAATGACTTTGGGCCGAGTTATGGTCATCTAAAGTTACTCGGCCCAGTCATTTGCAGGAAACCGATGATTTTTTTCAACCTACCGAAGTGGTTACGGGCCTGAACAGGACACAAAATGCCTTCCTTTTTTTAAACAATTATTAATAAACAAACCTCTCTTTCTTCTTCAATATTCTTCCTCCATTCTTCTAGTTCATCTCTTAAACGATTCAATTCATCTTCTTTATTAAACAACTTAGAAAATTTTTTAATTAAATTTTATCCTTTAAAACTTCAAAAAACCTGTTCAAAAACTTGTTCTTTTTCTAATAATATTTGTCCTTTATTTATTTCTTCAAGAGATATTTGTTCTTTTAATTGGGCAATTTGTTCGAGTAAATGAGACATTTCATCCTTCAATTGATTTATTTGAATGTCTTCTTCTGGAGTAAATTGTTCTGTTTGAATAATCTTGAAAATTGGAAAAGTTAAAAAATTACTTAGAAAATTAATTTAAAAAAAGAAAAAAAGCTCCAAAGTTTCTCCGCTACAGTCTAATTAACAAATTGATCAGCTCTAAAAATAACCCTGACAGAAAATCAAAAGTTTGATACAGTCCCTTTTCCGGTGTTTTCATGGTTAATAAACTGAAATTTCCAAAAAAAATTTTCGGAGTCCCAACAAAACACGAACACTGAAGGAAATTTTAGCGGTTCCAAATTCCAGTAAAAAAGTAAACCTAAATTTACTGTTTTTGCCGTTTTGAGTTAAGAGCAAATAAGTTAGAGGCACCTGACTCCATCCAAAAAAATAATAATTTAAACGAAACTTGTTCTATCATTTCAACTCTTCCCCCTCTTTGCCTTCTTTCACTTCTCAAATATTTCCCATCACTTGTCGATGAATCCTTTGTTTCACTTGTAGTTGTTGTACTGCTAGAAACTCCTTCAACTTCAATTTCATCTTTTCCCATTTTTTCCCAATCGGCATTATTTGAAGCTGCCGATTCTGAATCACTTGAAGGCTTAAAAATTTTAATTTAAAAAGATTTTTTAAACAAGAAAACCTTAAATTCTTCACAACCAGTCAACAACAATTTTTCATTACGTCTAGTCTCTTCGTTAATTTCCTCAATTTGTTGACGTAAATTGTCTCTTTCTTGTTTGATTTCTTCAATCTGTTAAAATTAAAAAATTTTTTTGATTAAGACTGAAGATGGACTTAATTATAAAAAGAATAAGACTTAAACTTTCTTAAATTTAAAACTCTCACTCCTATGGATAACAAGAAAAAAAAACTTTTATGTTGAAGAGGGTCATTTTATAGAAAAATCCAACCATATAAATAATGGGGGTTCGGTTCAGAAGATCGAATCGGACATCAATTTTGACACGAAAAGACAGAAACGGCCCGATTCAATAAAAATGAGGCCGAAAAAATGACTCAAAAGTCACACAATTCGAAACCCCAACATCAAATATAAATAATAAAAATATATTGAAAAAATAAACCTCAGCATTTTTAACATCAATCTCTGCTTTTAATAAAGCAATATCTGATTTTAACAAATTAACATCAGCTAGTAAAGTTTCATCCTTTTCAGCGGCTGCTTGTTCGTTTAAATTAGAAGCATTCCAAGTCTAAAGAAGAAAAAATGATTAAATACAATTTTAACATGGATAAAAAATTTTTTTTGTAAGATTAGGAAATAAAAATTTAAAATTAGAAACGTCAGAAAACAAAATAAAAAGTAAAAGAGAGCGACAGGATTCGAACCCACGCCAACTACACACAAAATCCAAACTCTTAACCACTCAACCACCCACAAGTATAGATGATAACATTAATATTCGTACATATTTTTTTCAGGAAATACTAAAAAATAATCTAGCGACCAACTGGAAACTCTGGGCTAACCCCAAGCTTATATTATCCAACATAAGAAATTGAGTTTTTTAATTTAACGAAACCTCAAGTTGTTCAATTCTCTTCTCATAATCCTCCTTCAGTTGTTTAACATTAGAATTGTGTACAGACAAAATTGCAGAAATTTCATTTTCGTGTTTCTCTTTAAGTCTAGAAATTTGACTAGAAAGCTCTCCTTCTTCTCTAGATGTTGAATCAGAGTCAAGTTCAATATTTTGAAAAGTTCCTTCTTGGTTTTCTTGATGAAATTTTAGCCTTTCCATTTCTCTCTAAAAAGTAGTTTTTTATAGGATTTTTTAAGGCCCCACCCTTCAGTTCTCTTAATTTTTGATAATAATTTCACAGGGATAACCGAGGATAGCAGTTCAGCCATCGAGAAAGTCCAAACTCATCACGCCATACAATAGTCTTATTTTTAATTCTTTTCATTATTTTCCATTGTATGACTCGGAAAGACTTAAACTTGACTCGAGGAGCCTGGAATTACTACTTTTCCATTGTATAATCTAGGAGCTTTAACATCCTCGAAGGCCGAACAATTGTGGAATGACTAAAAGTAGTCTGTCATAGATGATTTATTTGTCAGATGACACCAAGGAAAATTGGACAATATTTAGGCCAAAAAATTCAAGATTCCTTTTCCTTTTTTAATAAAAGAAAACCTCCAATTTTTTAATCATTTCATCTCTATCCGCAACAATGGCCATAAATTTTTCTTTAACGGCATCATTTTCAATATTTACACTATAAAGTTGTTCTTCCATTTCCACCAATTTTTTCTCCAAAGCTTCACATTTTGATTTTTCAACCAAATATAAACGTTCACATTCTGTTGATTTTTTCTTTTCAATCTTTAAAAATTGAAAGAAAATCTAAAAAAAAATTAAAAAAACTTGTAGTTCACTAGTTGTTGATACTTGACCTTCTTCTGTTGCGTCGTTTAAAACTTCTGTTGCTAATTCAGTAATTTGTCCTTTTATGTTTTGCAGCCAATTATTCATTGTCAAAAGTTAAAGTAATTTAATATAGAATAAAAATCCTTTAAAAATCCTTTAAAAAATAAAAAAAATTCTCTAAAAAAATTTTTACGAAGCACAACGATAAAATTTTAAAATAAAATGGGTCAGAGAACAAAATAAAAGACAAAATAAAACCAAGAGATTCGAACCCACATCAATTCCCAGTAAATGCTAACGCCTTAAACCAATAGGCCACGGATACATGTGGAAGCTTTAACTAATAATTGGGCTTATATTTTTTCAGAAATCTCGAAAATCTTCATAATTAAAATTTGAAGAAAAGTAAACCAGAAACAAGACAAGAAAATTCGAAAAAATAGACCCAAACGAAAGTTACCGTTATGACATTTAATTAAATGTAATACCTAATCAAATTAAATATCAAAATGTCAACACAAAAAACACCAAATCAGCATTGCCACTTTTCCTCTTTTTCTCTAACCACTCTCCTCTTTCTACACACTATTTCCTTAAAATTCCAAGCTTTTTGGCTGAAAAGGGGAAAATTTATTTTTAAGCTTTTTTCTATTTTTTTGTAAATATTTTAAACACATATCACGAAAAATGAATGAAGCAGCTTTAGAAAGTAAAGAAGAACTTGAAAATTTTAAAAAAGATGCAGCAGAACCAGGTTTGAGTCTTTAAATTTTTTTTAATTAAAAATTTGAAAAAAATTTTTTAAAGAAACTTCAAAATCTTCAAAAAATGCAATTGATAATTTAGAGGAAAGCGAAGAAAATAATCATCAAAATTATGAGGAGGATGACGACGATGATGATTTTGGGGATTTTGAAGAGGCCCCTCAGGCTGCTTTTAATAGAGTAAATATACCAGAGAAAGAAGATGAATTGGACTGTCAAAATGCTTTTAAAGATGAAAATTGCTCAACGGTATACTTTAAAATTAAAAAATACAAAAATCGATCCCTACCGAAATTTGCGGACAAAAAAATTTTTTGCGGACAAAACTTGCGGACATTTTTATTTTTTAAAAAGCACCCTTTTTTAAGTCCCAACAACAAGCACCAACATCATCCACTACAAAACCAACCTATTTAACAATTAAAGATATAATAGAACAACCAGAATTGATGAGAACAATGAAGAGTGTTTCCCAGAACCCAAAAGAAGGCGGCAACAATTTAATTTTAATTAAATCAACGACTTCAAGTAATTCAATTTTTAATGATTTATTTAAACAAATGGATAATATTGAACAAATTAATTTGATGGAAAAGAAAGAGAAGGAAATTGAAGAAGAAAAAGGGAAGCAAGAGGATGAAGGAGTTAAGGAGGATGAGGAGAAGACATTGAGGAGGCATTCCTCCATTGTTTCCAGGTTTATTTTGGTACTTGTGTAGTTTACACCCCATAAGCCCCGCCCCTCTGCCCTCTTTTCCTCTTCTTTATAAGAAAATGGCTATGAAAAACCCAAATGGTCATTTTACAGGAGGAAGAACGAAAGAAAATGAAAGAATAAGGGGCGGGGCTTATGGGGTGTAAACTACACAAGTACCTTTATTTTAATTAAAATTAAAAAAAATATTTTTTTCTAAAAAGGTCTTTAAACTTTTGGAGCCAAATTTGTTTTATTGAAGAAGCTAAAGCACTCAAATTTAAATTTGCTGACTCTTTCACTTTTAAAAGAATGGTTGAAACTTTGAGGTTTAATAGTAATTCTTGTTGTGATGAGGTTTAAATTCTTTTTTTTGTTACTTGTTTTGTTTATTTAATAGGATAACCGAATTTTAAAAAACATTTTTTGAATGTTTGCATTTTTTATTTATTAGAAAAAAAACTTTTTTTGTATACCCTTTGTTTTGTGATATATTTACATTTTAAATAAAAAAATAAAAAATTATTTTAGTTAAATTTGTACAAAAAAATTAAAGAAAAAACGAGATCACAAAAATATCCTAAAAACACGCCTATATCCTATTTATTTTTGTCTTTGACCTTTGGAGAGATCGAAAATTAAAAAAAGCCCTCCTTGATCGTGACCCTTTCAGTTGCTGACTTTGTGACTAAGAAAAACAAGGAACTTTAAAAAATGTTATGATTCTTGACTTTGAGTCTCTCATTCTGACCTCTAAAATTTTTTAAAAATTTCCAGACTGCTCCATAAATTAGGCAATGGATCCAGATCAAAGGAGCTGATCTCTAATTACCAGACTATTCCCACATACCAAACTCTTCCCGAAAAAAACACTCATCCCTAAAAAACTCTTCCCTTATCAGAACTTTCTTTCTCCCTTATTTTCCCTATTTAATCCCCATCATTATAATCATTCAAATTCTCTTCATCCTCTTCATCTTCCAATATATTTTCATTATTATTGTTGTCACCACCCATTTCTTCCCCTTCCAACATTATATTTCTACAAGCACACTTTTTTACTCGGACAATTTTTCTATAGAGATAACCTTTTTCTAGGTCTGGACATTCTAGACGAACCTTAAAAAAGTTTTCTGAAATTTTTCAGAAAAATTTTCAAGAACCTGTATTGTGTCCACTTCAACAGGTATACATGCTGAACAACTTTGGAATGTTGCCTTTAATTTTTTGGATCGTAGACGGGGTATATAAAATGAGGAACAACTTCCATGACAAAAACTAAATAGAAAAAAAATTTTTCAAAATAAAATTCAAAAAAAATTAACCGATTTGTAATGCTTTTTGGTTTACATCCATTCACCTTAATTTTGTGTTTGAATAAATCGCCCTGGCATGTGTTTGATTGAAGGGTGTTGTTTACAATATCAGATGATATGTGAAGGGGAAGCATTGGTTGTGTTGAATGGAGAGGTAATTGTTGTTGTTGAGGGAGAATATTATCTGGCTCTAAAATTAGTTTTAATTATTTAGAGAACAGGAAATAATAAATCAGAAACGTAAACTTTAAATGTAAAAACCAGAAACTCAAACTAGAAAAGAATACAAGAATTGCAAACTTAAGGTAAAAATAGACTTATAAACTTAAAAAAAGAAAAAAATCAGAAATGCAAGCTTAAACTTAAAGATCAGAAACACAGACTTAAAATACAAAAACCAGAAACTTAATATTAAAACTTAAAAACTTGTTGTATTTTTTGTTTTTAAGTTTAAGCTTGAATTCTGATTTTATTTCGAGTTTGAACTTCAAATTTATTTAATTCAAGTTTCTGATTTTTGTGTTTTGTTTGCGATGTTGTTTTTGTGTTTTTAAGTTTGTGTTTCTCCCAATAAAAACAGAAACACAACAAATCAGAATTTAATAAAAACAATAAAAACACAAAACACAGAAAATCAGAATTTAATAAAATCAGAAATACAAAACACAAAAAATCAGAATTTACTAAAAACAAAAACACAAAACACAGAAAATCAGAATTTAATAAAAACAAAAACAAAAAACACAGAAAATCAGAATTTAATAAAATCAGAAATACAAAACACAAAAAATCAGAATTTAATAAAAACACTACCAATATTCTCATTGTTTTGATTATTCTGTTGTTGTTTTTGTTGTTTCTTTCGTTGTTTTTGTTCTCTATTTAAAACAGACAACAATTTTAATTTGTTTTGTTGTTTTTCTGTTTGTTCATTTTGTGTTGTAGCTAACGGTCTTAATTGAAAAAATGTTTCTCTAGCAATTTCCATAGCTTCTTTATATTGTTCTCTTTCATTAGAATTTACAACAAAATTATTTAAATAATTATTGCTTCCCCCAACTTCGTCAGCAATAGAAAAAGGTCTCGCATTAATTAAATTCGAATAATAAAATAAAAATAAATTTAAAATTAAAAATAAATTATTTTTAAAATTTATTTTTGTTCTCCTTTCGATTTTTAAAGAAAACATTTTTTAGTTGTTTTAAGGGAAAAAAATTTTTTTGAAATATTTTTAACAGACAAAAATTTTTTGTTTTTGAAAGTTTGGCAAGAATTAAAAATGAAAAAATATTAGGAAGGAAAAATGGAATTTTAGAAGAAAATTGACGGCGCCTTAAAGATGAGCGACACATTTCTCACCTTAAAATTCTTTCGGCGCCAAAAAGCAAAAAAAAGGCATTAAAAATAAATAGATAAGAAAAATAATTCTTTTGTGGCCAATCACTCTCTCCTATTTAAGAATTTAGAAAAGAGAATGAAGGCTCCAGTGAGGGTGTGTAAAAGATAGAAAAAACAAAACAATCTGTTGCTCATAGATTGTTGGCGCCTGTCTAAAACAGCAACGGAAATATTTAAAAATATAAAACAGAACAAACAGTAAATTAAAGTGCAAAACACAAGAAGAGACAGAAAAATACAAAAATCAGAATTTAATAAAAATATGAAAAATACAAACAAGAATTTCATTTAAAAATACAAATCAGAATTTCTCTCAAACATACAGATCAGAATTTAATGTAAACATGAAAATACAAAAATCAGAATTTCTCTCAAACATACAGATCAGAATTTAATGTAAACATGAAAATACAAAAATCAGAATTTCTCTCAAACATACAGATCAGAATTTAATGTAAACATGAAAATACAAAAATCAGAATTTCTCTCAAACATACAGATCAGAATTTAATGTAAACATGAAAATACAAAAATCAGAATTTCTCTCAAACATACATACATATCAGAATTTAATGTAAACATAAAAATACAAAAATCAGAATTAAACAAATCAGAATTTCATTTAAAAGCAAAAAACACAAAAAAATAAAAACATGCTTAAAACATGATATCTTTATAAAACTAAATATTTATTTTACAGAATTTATTCTAATAATAAGGCAATCAAACATCTAATATTAAAAAAGTTTTTAAACAAGAGATAATATTTTAAATATTAAAATTTTATTTATAAATTAATTAATTTCACAATTTTTTCTTTTCTTTTGTTTGGTATTTTAATGTATCATCATCTGCCACATCAAGTGAAACACTTAAAAAAAATTTTTTTCTTTTAAATGAAATTCTGATTTTTTTATTTTTTTCTAAATATAAACTCACCCTCCAGACCGACTCTTTTTCACTACAAAAGTTCCACTAAATGTACGTTGTGGTGATTGTTGTTGTTTTTGTTGACCAGAAAATGTAGTTGTTGTTTGTTCTTCCAAATATTTTTGTATAGCATCAAATGCTGAACTAAGCTGTTCTAAACGATCAGAAATATTTTCGTTAGAAGAGGTTACACCGCTTTTTCCAGCACAAGAAACATCTCCTCCTCCTCCCCTTATTTTGCTTCCTTCTTCAGTTAAAACTCCTGTTTGTGCAACACGTTCAAGTAAATGTTCTACAGATGGAGAAAGTGAAGATTGATTACAAAGCCTAAAATTAAAAAAAATTTTTTAAACAAAGTAAGAGCGAGTTAAAAGCTTAATCCCGGGCAGGCTTCGATCCATCGACCTCCTGGCAGTTATTGCTAGGCACTTTCGCTCACCACGTACATGTGCTCCACCAAATGAGCTACCGGGACGCTGCTTTCACCTTCTATTTTAATAAATCTTAAACCCCCGCCTAGTGAGCGTTTTAAATGCCAGCCAGCTAGATCTTTCTCTTCCTTACACAAAAAAATATTTTTCCCTCACTTGAGTAAAGCAATGCTTTTATGACATTTTTGAGTAAGTTCATCAACTGTTCTTTGAAGACTAGTCTTTAAAAAAAATTTAAAAAAAAATTTTTTTAAACAAAATTAAAAAATATCTATCCCTTACATTACACGAATCACTTGTCAAGCCAATAGAATCATCTTCATCATCACACACTTCAGCTAATCTATTTAATTCATCATGGGAACGATGAGACTCTAATGGTGGTTTAGTTGAAACTTGTTGTTGTTTTTGTTGAGCAGCCTTCCAACGGGAAAATGAACTTTGTTGTTTTGAATTTTGTTGTTGTTCTTGGTTTGTTAATGTTGCAGAAATTGAACGATTTGAAGTAAATGCTTCTCTTAAAAATTAGAGAAAAAATAAAAAAAGAAATAGTGAATAGGGTGAGAAAAAAGAAATGTTTTTAAAATAAAATATGTTTTTATTGATGTTTTTATTGATGTTTTTAAGCGAAAAACATCAGAAACATGTTTAGGAGAAAAACACATGTTGTTTTGGTAAAAACAATGAAAAAAGCAACGGAAAAGTTTTATCAAGTTTACAAACCTGAAACAAAGTTTCAAGTTTACAATAAGGAAAACACGAGTTCCAGTAATTGCAAAACATATTAAAAAGAGAACAAAACAAACAAAACACACAACAAACAAAACACAGAACAAACAAAACACAAAACAAACAAAACACAAAAACAACAAAACAAATAAAAACACACAACAAACAAACAAAACACAAAACAAAACGAACAAACAAACAAAACACAAAACAAACAAACAACAGAACACAAAACAAACACAAAACAAAACAAAACACAAAACAAACAAAACACAAAACACACAACAAAAAAGCACAAAGAAACAAAACTTACTGTTGTTTTCTTAATTGTTGTTGTTGCAATAATAAATGTTGCTGCTGTTGTTGTTGTTGTTCTGCTTCAGCAACAGCTCTGCGTGGATCATATTCTTTACGACGCAACCAACCCAACATTTTTTCTTCTTCCGCAGCTTTTAACTGATAAAAAATTTTTCTTTCCAAAAAAATTTTTTTAATTTTACTTTAGCAGCATTTGACGATGCTGTTTGCCTTAAAGCATTTGTGTTAGCACGTGTTGCAGATGTTGGACGCATTGAAAAACGACCACCATCATTTCTTCTAAATGGGGATTTAAAAAAATTTTTTAAAGGGTATATTGAAGCAAAATATAGAAGCAAAAACATTTAAAGGAATTTTAAAAAATATTTAAAGGAAAAAGAACAAAAACAAAACATACAGACACAAATAAAGCTAAATTTTAGGGAAATTGATTTTTTTTAATTAAAAAAAAATATTTTTCTAATAAAAAAATTTTTTTTTTGATTGAAAAAAAATTTTTTAATTAAAATTTTTAATTAAAAAAATTTTTTAATTAACAACACAAAACTCTCTTTTTTATCAAAACACCAATATACTACACTATTAACTCCACAATACTTCTTAAATAAGTATTATAATTTTTAGAAGCTTACGGCTCGCTTCTGCACCGAGAATTCTGGATTTTACTACAAAAAAATGTTTAAATTTTATTTTAGCTTATTTAAATTCCTAATAGGTCATTAAAAAATTTCAAAAAATTTAAAAAAAAATTTTCTATACCTAAATGCTTGCTGCTGTTGTTGTTGCTGCAGTTGTTGATGTTGTGTAGGACAACGACATGGACGACTAAATGGAATTGGATTTGAAGCAAACACGGTTGTATTCTTCTTTGGATTTTGATTTGAATTTGTTGTTGTAACACCAGCAGAATTACCACGATGTGGGGGAATTGGGGGAGCTGTTGAAGCAAGTTTAGTAGTTGTTGGAAGCACCCCAAGTGTTTTGGGAGGAATTTTTTTATTGGAAACTTTGATATTAGAAGCAGATTGTTGATTAATTATTGAAGGTTTTTCAATCTTAAAAAATTTTTTAAAAAAATTTTGAAAAAAAAATTTTTTTTTAACCTGTCCACTTTCTCTTAATTGACGCAAATCACTCATTAAAGACCGCTTTCCAACTTGCCCACTAATTGTAAGAGGTGGACGAATATTTGTTGTAGTTGTTGTAGCAGAAATAGGAGGGTTACCAGGTGAAGGAGTTCGCCCAGTTGATGAAGTATGTGTAGAAGCATGTGTTGAAGAAGATGAATCAGAATCACTGAAAAAAGGAATTTTTTGCTTCATTTTATAATAAAGTTTGTAAACTTAATTAATTAAATATCAAGTTTAATATTATTCTGATTTTTCAAGTATGTAATTAATTAATTCAAGTTTATTTTATTTACAAACTTAAATCAGAATATTAATATAAACCAGAATTAATTCAAGTTTGTAATTTTAAATTAATTCAAGTTTATTTTATTCTGACTTTCAAGTTTGCAATTTTAATTAATTCAAGTTTATTTATTTTACAAACTTGAATCAAAATATTAATAAACTTGAATTAATTAAAGTTTATTATTATTCTGATTTCTCAAGTTTATAAATTTATTAAATAAATTCAAGTTTGTAAAAAAATATTCTGATTCCCAACTTTCTATTTCCACTTATACAAACTTGAATCAGAATAAACTTAAATTAGCTTAAGATTGTAATTTTTTAAATTAATTCAGTTTATCAAGTTTCTGATTTTTAAGTTTGTAATCTTAATTAAATTCAAGTTTATTATTATTCTTTTCAAGTTTATAGTCTTAAAAACAGAAAAATACCCTACCTATCATAACATCTCTGTGTTGTTCTATTACTACTTTTATTACTAACTCCACTTATTTGACTTGTTGTCATTACATCATTTGTTGTTGTTGCTTCCGTTGTTTTTATTTTATTTTCAACTACATAAGTACCCGCTTCTGATGCCAAATCTTCTTGCCCTTCTTCTGTTGTTGTTTCATGTCCACCCCCACCACTCATTGTTGTTGAAGTTGTTGCCTCAGATATAGCACTTCCACTACGACGTCTTCGTCTATCACTACTTTTAGTGGCCGTTTCCCCTTTACGTCCCATCATCATTTTTCGAAATAACCAACGTTTTGGATCTCCTCCACATTCAGAACCAGAATCTTGTAATTGTTGCTGCTTTTGTTTGTTGACATTTTCATTTTTGCGTGACAACATAAGACGTCGACCTTTAGGCGCTTGACGTGCTGCTTCTTGCAATGAAACTTCTGCAATAGAGACTTGACCTCCAAGTTGAGCATGTTCATCATTGAATGATATTGTGAAGGCTGTTGGTGGGGCAGTACGTAAAACTGTGGCTAAAAAAAAATTTTTTTTTATTAATTAGTACACCCTTCTGGTTATCTTATAATGAGAGGTACCCTAAATAAAGAGATGTATTTAATTAAGCAAAAAAGGGGGTGTCGTTTAAATAACTTCCCCTTCCCCACACCCAACGGCCCACAAAATTGATAGAAATAAACGTATCTTAAATAGAAGTGCGTGCCTAATTCTGAGGGGTATCTCATATGGAGGTACGACCTTTGGCCCTCTTTAAACTCCCAAAAATAGAAAGTGGGAAGAGGAAAAAGGTTGGCCCACAAACTTAAAAATAAACGTATCCTACACATAGGTGTACCTAATTCTGAGGGGTATCTTATAGGGAGGTACGACTCTTGGCTCTCTTTAAAGTCCCATAATACAAGGCGGAATAGGGAAAAGCTTATAATTAAAAATTAAAATTTTATTCTCACCACCTCTAACAGATAATTCATCACCCGCCATAGTTGTTGCTGTAGTTGTAGCAGTTATTTTATCTGTTCCTCCACCTTTTCCCCCTCCTCCACTAGCAAAAACATTTCCAAAAGACGACGGTCTTCCATTACGTGTTAATCCTCCTCCATTTCCTTCCAAAGGTGTTGAACCACCACTACCAAGTCCAGAACTACTCAAATCTATATCCATTCGAATTGCTTTCATTCGAGTTTGTGAAGATGATTGCTGTTGTTGTTGGTGGCAGACCTGGGCGAAACTCAAAATTTTTTTCTGACGAAACGAAACGAAACAAAATTTTTTAAAAATCGTTTCGTTAACGAAACGAAACGAAACAACCAAAATCTTACGAAACGAAACGAAACAAAACGAAACATTTTAATATTCAAAAAATTTTCAAAACTGCATTTATTTCGAAATTATTCGACCTCAAATACGTTATTAGTCGACTATGACTTATAAATGATTTAGTTATTGGTTTATTTACAACAATTGTGTCCCATAAGCCAGGCCCGTAGCAAGGAAAATTTTCGGGGAAGGGGGGGGGGGTCAATCATTTTCGAAGCCAAATTTTTGGCGACGCTTTTTTTTAAATAAAATTGAATATTTTTCAAGTAAAATTTTATTTTAAGCGCCGCAGACGAAAAATTTTAAAATTTTGAAAGGCCGTAGGCCAAAAAATTCACTATCTTGCTCCATTGCCTACCCAAATTGTCTCCATATCTCCATTTCGAGAGGAAGGCGATATAAGCTAGTGCTTCGCCGGAAGTTCCGGTTCCAGTATTTCCGCAACTCGCAATCCGCAATTTTTAAATTATGATGCGAGTCCGGTAATAGAATTTGTCGTCGATTAAGTAATATGTATATGTGGATTAGGGAGTGGAGTATAAACGGATTTGTAGTATATAAGTAATTGCTATCTTCCTTTTTCAGCGCCGCAGGCGAAAATTTTGACAATTTGGGAAAGCCAAGAAGCCGAAATTCTTTTTTTTTCAGCGCCGCAGGCGAAAATTTTTTAAATTTTCAATAAAAGATGGTAAATTTTATAGATTTTGGCCTTAGTTTAGGCTTAAAAAATTGTTTCGTTTCGTTGAAAAATCACAGGTGTTTCGTAACGAAACGAAACGAAACAAATTTAAAAGTGTTTCGTAACGAAACGAGACGAAACAGTAAAAATCATACGAAACATACGAAACAACGAAACGAAACGAAACGTTTCGCCCACGTCTGGTTGGTGGTGGGAAGGCAAATCTGTTGTTGTTTTTACTCTTAAAAAAAATTTTTTTTAGAAAAATAAGAGAGATAAATTTAGCCCCAGGCACTCAAAATTCCACCCGACTTCTAACATAAGGAGAAAACGACCCCTTAGCGTAGGTGGGCTTTCGCTCACCAACATATAGAAGGTACTCTACCAACTACACCGTGAGCTACAAACCGGAGTGCTGCTCCCCTTTTCACCTTTGATTTTTTAAATAAATGTTTAAATCCATTGACTAGTAAGGATTTTAGACAATAGCAGACAGCTAGATTCCCAGTTCTTCCTTACAAAAAAAAATAAAAATTAAAAAACCTAAAAGGTGGTGATGATGCAAATGATGCCTTATTATTACACTCAAACATTCCTCCATGTTGCTGTTTTTGTGGTGAATGATGAAAAGAATCTTCCAATAAAAATGTCCCTCCTCCCCCTCTATTCGAATAATTTTTATTTTCACATCCACCAATCATTGAAGCAAATCCTGAAGTTGAATCAGAAGAACCCCCACCACCTCCAATAATTGTTGAAGTTGACATTTGGTTATTTTGGTTATTGTAATGTTGAGGGTGTTGGTGTTTATATTGATGAGCAAGTGGGGGAGAATAAGAAGAATAATGAGGAGAGGGTTCTTTAAAAAATATAAATTAAAATATGTATTAAATTAAAAGGAAAATAAACCTTCAATATCACTATTATTATTGTTATTATCTGGAGAGCCAAACACTAATCCACCTTTAAATTGTAAAAGTTTAATTACGGGAGCAGGCCAAGGAAAGGAACCGCGAAAAAAAGGAACCGCGAACCCAAGGTACCGTAGAGCTATAACTTTGTTCAAAAATTGTTGAATCCGGGACGCCCTGGTACGGTTCGATTCAGCTCGTCGAGACGCATCGAACCATACCAGGGCGTCCCGGATTCGACAATTTTGAACAGCTCGGCGGTACCTGGCCTTGTGGTACCCTGGGGTTTACCCAATAATAAACTAAATCAACAAACCTCTTCCACTATCTCTAGTCGAATTGCTTTGTCTCGACTCTGTAGAAAGGCGCGCCTGTTCACGTCGTTGGAATTGTTGTTGCTGTTGATGGAAATTTCTATCATTATAATAATTTCCTCTATTTTGACAAATTTGTTCTTCTTCAGTTTCCACATCATAACCTTCATATGTATCATTACTTGGTCTTCGTCTAGAAAAAAAATTTTTTTCCTCCCCCCAAAAACCCCAAAAAAACCTTTCATCATTATATGCAATACTTCTGTAAGGGTTAGCACTGGGGACTTTAAGAATAAACAAATAAAAAAACATTTCCAATTAAATTTTATTTCCGAAAATTAAATATAATATTGGCGAGCGTGGTTCCGCCAGCAAAAGCCAAAAAGAACAATAGGGGGAAAAAAAAGGAACCACTAAAAAGAGAATATAAAGCTTTATATCTTTCTCAAAGTGGGAGGAGTTTCTTTTCCAGTCGAGAGTGATGTATTACATCCATCCCTCCTGAAATTTAAGTTGTCCTCAACTTTCCATTAAATTTAAAATTTTTGATGTGTTGACATTTTGATGTTTTGACTTTTCGGTATTTTGAACTTTGAGTAATTTTTCCACTATTTAAACCCAAAAAAAAATTTTCATTTATTTATTTATTCATTTATTTATTTTTTTCCCATTTTAAATGCTCTTTTTTAGTTATATGTATATATGGCGCTTTTAATTATTCTATTTCTTAAAGTTTTCATATAACTAAAATGGTTTTGTAATTCTCATTAATTTTTCAAATTAATTTTCTTTATTAATATTTTTGGGTTAATTTGATTTAATTTCCGAAAAAAAGGGTTTTTTGTTTTATTTGATTTGCTTTTTTGTTGTTGTTGTTTTGTAAATGGAGTTGTCAAGTTTGTTGTAGTTTTTGTTGTCTGACAGATTTGGTAGTATTTGATTAGATTTTGTAGTTGTCTTGTTCTTAGTGTCTCTTCTTGTCTTTATTCTGGCATCTTTTTTCCTTATTATTTATATTATATCGAAATTACAATTGTGATATTTGGGTGGGTATATATAAAATGACATTAAACGTTTCGATCAATCTACTATTTAAAGTTCGAGAAAACTAAATTAGATTTTTTTTTCTGCTGCATTCGAACTTTATATAGTGAGATTTAATCTCAAAAAAAAATTTTTTGTTGTGTGTATTTTATCTAATTATTGTTTATTATTTATTTTTTCCCATTTTCTGAATTAAATACACACTACCAAACAATACTTTTCTTATACATATAAATAAGAGGCAATAAATGGGCATATTTAAGGTTATATCATTTGAAAATTTAAATTATTTTTTTTTAAATACTATTTCACTATTTACTTTGATATGACCTTAATTATGTGCCAAATGTGGTTGATTATCAGGGTTTAAGAAAAGTTTTGTTTGTATTTTTATTTTCTTTTATTTTCAATTAATTGTATGTGTAACAGTGACCAGTGCTTGGGTATGGCTCGGATATACAGGTGGTGGGTCTTCGATCTACGCCGTCTGGTGGTGGGTCTTAGATCTACGCCGTCTTTGGTGGTGGGTCTTAGATCTACGCCGTCTTTGGTGGTGGGTCTTAGATCTACGCCGTTTTTGGTGGTGGGTCTTAGATCTACGCCGTTTTTGGTGGTGGGTCTTAGATTTACGCCGTTTTTGGTGGTGGGTCTTAGATCTACGCCGTCGTTTTAGTTTCTAATTAAAAGTTATTCAGAATATAATCAAGAATTGGTCACTGTTACCCCATTTATCTAAGATGTCCGAAAAATAATCCAAATATTTTGACTTTCTAAATGCGTCGCTAAGCTGTTATATTAACATTTTTTGAAAGCGTCAAATCTAGATTTTTTTTTGAAACAGTTATTTAAATGAAAATTTCGCCTGCGTCGCTAAAAATTTAAATTTGTCTAAACTAATTTTAAATATTACAATTTAATATTACAATTTAAACGAACTACAAATATATAACTTCAAAATCACATACACATAACAAATGGATAATTTATTATTTGAATTTTTTGTAAAACGTAAGTCGGAAAAAAAAAGCGGAATAAAATATATAAAAAACTTAAAAAATTGTCTCTGTTACAGAAGCGTGTAAATAAAAATTTTAGACGAAAATATTATTTTTGGTTTTTCTCTTTTTCAATTTTTTTGTTTATTATTATTTTTTTAACAAACCACATACAAATAAGAACATAAAGAGTTAAAAATATTTATTTTATTAAAAAATTATTTTAATTATTTTTGTATTTTATTTTATCTTAATGTTTTTTTGTGTTTTTATATTTTTATTTCCTAATTCTAAAATTTTTGTAGTATTTTTTTTATTTTTTCAATTTTTTATTTTATTTTATTATTTTTTAAATGATATTTTTAATTTTCATATTTATCTAAAAAATATTTTTGGGGTAGTATTAATTACTTTATTGACAGGTAATTTCGGGATTGGAATTTTATGATTTATGTATGGTATTTTATTTTTATTTCCCTTTAAATTTTCTCGGACTTTCTCGAGTATATGTCCCATTTTATTTTCCCCACGTAAAGGTTTTCCCACTTTAAGTTGGTCAATTGTTATACCCACTCCCCATCGTGTATCAAAGGGATTTACTTCAATCAGTTGCATATTATTTGTTTCAAGGAGGTATTGTGCCAAAATTTTATTTTGGTGAAATTTGGCATTTACCGCTTCAAAAAGCATCCCTTCACTCACCTCATCCCATTCTTTTCTTTTAAAATTTTTAATAGTTCTGCTACATTTCTTAATATTATGGGGGTGAATTTCTAACATTATTTTCATTTTACTCATTTCATCCCCAAAAAACCAAGCTTTCGAAAATGCGTATGCCTGTTCACTACATGTGAATTGAATTCCCCAAACATTAACGGGTGACGGGAAAAAATTACTAAAGGGGTGGTTTCTACCATAAAAAGGGATTACCTGTTTACCTTTATACTCAACTTTTGGGAACGGGTGTCCTTCCATTACCTGTCAAAAAAAATAAAAAAAAATAGAATTTTCCTTTATAATTATTACTAAAAGACATTTTTAAATTATTTTTATTTAATTTGTTTTTTTTTCTTTTAATTTTATTGAGGGCCGATTTGGGGCTGGCCGCATTTGGTACATTTAAATGCTTCTTCTAGTGGTCGGAACCCTTTATTTTCCCACATTAAAATAGCTTCTCTTCCTAAAATAATTTCGGAAAAGCATTGTCCCGTTTTTATTTTTCCACTTACAATTCTAAATGTTATTTTAGCCTGATTCTCCCCATCAAAAATATCGGCCTCTGCCCTGCCCACTATTTCTAAAGTTTGGTTCCCCTCCCACATATTAGTTGGTTCAAAAATTTCATAAACTAAATTTGCATTTTCCACGTGGAGGGGTGTTATGTAATTACATTCGAAAGTGTTTGAAATTATACATTTTGTAAAATAATAGTCAACTAATATTGGTCGGACAATTTCTATATTTTCAATTAATTTTTCTTCCCCAAATTTTCTTTTTCTATTTATTTTAACTATTTATTTCTCTAATTGTTACTTACGTAGGTTGTTGTGTTCTACTAAAAATTATTTGTTAAAAAATTTTAATTTATTTTTCCTTTAATTTTAAATTGATTATTTTGATATGTTTTTATTTTATCTATTTTCCCTTTATTTCTATTTTATATATTTCTAAGTGGTGTTAAATAGTTTTGTATAAGTTTTTTCGCTTTATCCATGTGTATTTTTGTTATTTTATCTGTATTTATTTCTCTAATTGTTAAAACTGGGGTATTAATTTCTATAATTCTATATGGGCCATTCCATTTAGGTCTAAATTTATGCGCTTGTTCACCAGGTAAATGTTCAATTTTTACTAATATCAGATCATGAATTTTAAAATTATGTTCTTTCCTATCCTTATCTGCGTTATCTTTTTGTGTTTTCTGTGCTTTTTCAATAGATATCTTTACCGAATCCCAAATTTGTTTTAATCCTTTTACATTTTCCTCTAGGTAATCTGACATATCTTCTTCTCGCGTATTTCCTTCCCAATTACTAAGTCTTAAATCTATGGGCATTATTGGGTCCCTAAAAAACAAAATAAAATACGGGGATTGTTTTGTGCTTGCCTGAACACTTGTGTTATACGCAAATACTACACTTTGTAAAAAATGACCCCAATTATCCCCTTTTATATTTACATAATTGAACAACATGTCGGCTATCACTCTATTTAACCTCTCTGCCATTCCGTTGGACTGAGGGAGATAAGTAGTTGTCTTTCTATGCTTGAATCCATATAATTTGGCTAAGTCTTGAAAGATATTACTTATGAATTGTCTCCCATTGTCCGACACGACTGACCTTGGACAACCAAATTTTGTTATAAAATTGTTAGAAAATGCCTGTGCCACTGTTATAGCTGTTTGATTTTCCATTGGCACTGCTACTAGCCATTTAGAAAAAGCATCGACGACCGTAAAAATATATTTATATCCCTCTATTGTTAAAGGTAACGGTCCCATAATGTCTATGTGAATACGTTCAAATGGGGATTTTGGTACTGTAATTGGGAATATCGGTTCTTTACGTATATTACTTGGCATTATTTTTCTCTCCTGGCATTTAATACACGCACTCACATAATTATGGACATCCGATGACAATCTTTTCCAAAAGAAACGTTTTTTAATTTTTTCTAATGTCTTGGCAATTCCTAAGTGCGCGCCTAAAAGTTCATTTTCATGGCATTCTCGCATTATTCTTTCGCGTAGTGTTTGTGGTATAGCAATAACTGGGTATGAATCTTCTTCGCTTTCCATCCACCGATATAAAATTCCGTCAATCACAGAAAAATTTTCAAGAGCCTCTCGATTTTCTTCTGAATTTTCTTCTTCAATATTTATATTATCCTTTTCTTTTAATACTTTTACTATTTTCATATAATTTCTATCTTTCCCTTGCTCTTCTCTTATTTCATCCATTGACACTTTCTCCCACTTTTCAGGTTGAGTTAGTATTTCTTTTGTTAATTCAAAGTCTTTTTGTTGATCCTGGGTTTTTTCTTTAAATGTTTCTAAAAAATTTCGCCAATCTGGTATTTCTCTTTCAATTGCAAAAATTTCCTCTTCATTTGTTTCGATGTTAGGGTATCTGGATAAATGGTCGCAGAATTTGTTTGATTTTCCGCTTCTATGTTCAATTTTAATATTATAAGCTTGTACCGCCAATTGATATTTCGCCATTCTCCCTACTAATTTCCTACTTTTCATAAGCGAGCACGCTACAGAATTGTCGGTCCGTACTATTGTCGTTCCAGTTCCCTCAATATAAGGTCTAAATTGCTCTAGGCAATAAACTATTGCTAATGCCTCTAGCTCTGCAGCAATATGTTTTTGTTCGTTGGGGGTAGTTTTTCTCGAAACAAATGAGATGGGATGTTCTCCATCATCGTGTTTTTGAAGTAAACAGCCTGCTATCGCTGTTTTTGACGCATCCGTTTCAATTATAAATGGTTTTGTAAAATTGGGCGAAGCCAAAACTGGAGCTGTCAACAATTTGTCTTTAATTATTTCAAAAGCTTTTTGATGTATCTCGGTCCAACTTTTCTCAACTGTTTCACCTAATTTAGTCAATTCATGTAGTGGGGCCATAATTTGTGCAAAATTTTTAATAAATCTTCGAAAATACGAGACTGCGCCTATGAAGCTTCTTAACTCGGTAAGTGTTTTTGGAGGTTTAAATTTTTGTACCGCTTCTATATTTTTTGGGTCTGGTCGAATTCCTTCTTCGCTTATCAAAAATCCTAGGTATTTTATTTCTGACCTCCCAAAGGAGCATTTTTCTAATTTCAATTTTAGATTATATTTTATTAATATTTTTAAAAAATTTTCAATGTCTCTTAAATGTTCCTGTTCATCTATTGATCCTAATATTACATCGTCCAAATAAACTAAAAATGATGCCGAGAGGTCTTTTCGTAGATGTTCCATAACCTTCATGAATGTGCATGGTGCTCCACAAAGACCAAAGGGCATTCTTAAAAATTCATAAACTCCACAAAAAGTTGCAAAAGCTGTTTTCTCAATATGTTTCGGTTCAATTCCTATTTGGTGGAACCCTGCTTGAAAGTCAAAAGTGGTAAAAATAGCTTTGCCTCCTATTTTATCTAATATATCTGAAATCATCGGTAAGAAATAAACTTGTTTTTTGGTATTCTGATTAAGTTTTCTATAGTCAATTGCAAAGCGATATTTCCCATCTTTTTTCTTTACTAACACTATTGGAGAGGCAAAAATGGATTCGGACGGTCTTATTATGTTTTGTTTTAGCATATCATGAATTTGTTTGTGCACTTCCTCTTGTAACCCTGGGGGAACTCTGTATGGCCTTAATTGGACATATTGATTTTCGTCCACAAGATCAATTTTATGTTCAATCGGTCCATTAAAAAATCCAATTTTGCCATCTTCGCCTACGAAAGCGTCAAGATTTTTATAAATTATATTTTTTAAATCTGTTTGTGCTTTTCTCGACAAACATGATTTTTCTAAATTTATTTTGTCTTTTAAATATTGCCATTTTCTATCTTTATCTATGTTTTCTTTATTTATATTTTTATTTTCTATTAATTCTGTGGAGTATATTCCCGGCTGAATTTTGTCTTTTATTGGGTAATAAGTGCCTATTGTTTGTCCCTGGTGTACAGTAATTAATGAATTACCCCCATTAAAAATTCTCGCATAAACGTTATCTGGTTTGCATACTGTTTTACCTATTAATATTGTATCCTCATCCATAAAATTCCCTTTACCTACTAAAATATCTTCTTCTATTAATTCATCAATAAAACACGGCACAAGGGTATCTGAGTGGGGTTCTAAGATAATTTTTTCTTTATTTTTAACAGTATTTTTTGTAGGCATAATTTCAAGTGCTGCCACCATTGGCAATGTTCTAAGTTCATTTTCTTCAAAGTTTAAAAATTTTACTTTTTTATTCATCCAATCGAAATTTAATTGATACCCTGTATTGACCTGTAATTGTTTCATAAAATCGGATCCTAACAATATTTCGCAAGGACAAAATTCATCCTTAGCTACATAAATTTGGGTGGAAATTTTAATATGATCAATTTCTATATTAACATTAATTTTGCCAATCATAAAAAATTCACCTCCATTAGCTACTTTTGCTTTTGTATTTGGCATTAAATCAAAATTAATTTTCCCAATTTTTTCGGCGACTGACAATTTGCAGTAGCTAATGGATGCGCCTGAATCGATTAGGGCTTTATGCTTAAAATTATTTACTATTATTTGAATTAACGCATGGTTAGGCTCTGAACTCGGTTGTAATTCTACATTGGATACTTGATAGATTCTTGGAACACTAGTATGTATGAAGGCCTCCATTTCTATCTCAATTGGTGGTGCACTGGGTGTAACGCTGTTTATATTATTTATTTGATAACTTTCTTTTCTAATTTTTTGTTCCCGTTTCCACTTGGGTCTGAATGATAATATTGGCTGTATCCATGGGTAGAAGTATATTATTAATCCAATTATTGCAATTATAGGTGCCACAATCGTAACAATCTGTAAATAGTTTTTCCACTCCCCGAAAAAGGATAAAAGATTTAGCGGATTTAATGAAATATTTTTTGCAGTTTCTATTCCGGCATTTACAATTTCTCCCGTTTTTTCACCGATCTGGAGAAGAATGTTCGAATTATTGGCATATGTTATATTTTTCAGACTTAAAATTTTTTCCTGTTTATTTATCCTATTAGCGTAATTGTGTAGTATTGAAATAGATGCCATCAAACTATTTAAATCGGATTGAAATATCGTTTCTGCTCGGAAAATTTTCCGAGCCTCCTCGGGTTTATATGGTAAAAAATTTGGTACCATATCAACAGGTGTCAGTCCGTCAATGTTTCGCCATTGACCTTTTTCGTCTTTGAATACTGACTTTGGTCTTTTTTCGCATTCAATTTTTTCACTTTCGGAAACTAAATCTTGAGCATAGGACCCACTAACCATAAATAGAATTCTCGTTAAATTGCCTTGAATAACTTCAACTGGGACTTTCTTATAACAGGTACCATTAATTTGATGACTCCAAAAAATTTTTCTTGGACTCAATTGAATACACCTAGAAACTTGGATAATCTCACCTAGAAAATTGGCCATTATGTCCTGCCTTCTTAGCCACAGTCTTGCTCCTAATGTCGTATCAATTCCCATCATTGTCTTAGCGGTCTCAATTTGCTTGTTATGTAAATTACAAATTTCCAACCATAGTTTATTAAAATTTTCCTTAACTATTTCGGTCGCGTGGGCTTCTAAATATTGTAATTTTGTGTTTAAATTATTATTTATTTGTGTATCTTTGTGAGCTTGTTTATCTTTATGGTCCTCTCCCATTTTCCATGGTGTTTCTCGTTTAAGGAATTTAGGTTTCAGCCCATAGAATTTAGCAATATTTAGCGCTATTTTCCTGTAATTTTGCTCATTTTTCTCTGCTTTACTTAAATTTAATCGACTAATTTTAATTTTTTCTTTTACAGGTATTATTCTGGCTTTTTTAAGTGTTATATTCTTATCGATATAAGAACTTGGGGACGTATAAATTTCTATTTTATTTGTAATTTCTTGGGGACTTAAAGTTGGCTGAATTTCTGTGGACTTATAACTATAGGGGTTTGTAGTTGTCTGAACTTTTATATTATTTGCTAATGTTTTTTGTGTTTCTGGGCGTGAATTTTTTAAATATGTCGTCCTTAACGTTGTTTTTTGTGTGGTCGGTAATTTATACCCTGTTATTCTATTTACATATGTGACAGGACTTTTTTCAGTAGTCGAAATTATTAGAGGTCTCATTTGCTTTGTGACCGGTCTCGTAAAAACGCGAATAGTTGTGGACTCAACTGGTTGGGGTTTAACTACTATTTTATTTGCGGGGGTGGTATTTGGTATATTTCTTTGTTTTATTGTAGTTGTTTTTCTAATAAGTTCCGTGTTTCGTGTGGTATATTCTATAAAAGTTTGCTTAGTGGTGGAGAATAATCTTGGAATTTTTAATTTTTCTGGTCCTTGGGTCGGGTATTCGCTCGTTCTTCTAGTTGTATATTCAAATTTAGGTCTCGTTACTGGATTATAATATCTTTGAGTACTTGTTAGAGGGTTTCGTGACGACTGTATTGATCTTTGAGTGGTTAATAGAGGAGGGGTTATTATTTCAATTTGTGGTTTTCTAGTTATTCGAGTTGTACTTGTTGGCGTCTGTGTACTTGTTGGCGTCGGAATTTTCGTAGTAGTCGTCATTTTTCTGGCTCTTTTTAATTCCCTTTTTCTCCTTTTAGCTTCCATATCATCCCAATTTCCTATTCCTGCCTCCGGGTACAGGGGTATTCTTAATCCCTTTTCTGTTTCAATAAAATCTCTTAATAATGGTATAGAAATGAAAACATCATTTTCCATATAAAAAGTATTGTTTTTAAAGCAAGCTTGTGTTTCGTCTGTTATATTCCCTGTGGCATGTTCCGAAAATACAAAAGCTGCCTGTAAGTTTTCAATAACTACAAAATCATTAGTTACTATCCCTTTGAAAAAGCCCGCTGATTCATAGGGACAGTGTATTTTATTTGGATCCTCCCATACTATTGTGCTATTTTCATTCTCGCATTCACCTATATCTACTGAACAATTATAATATATTCCTAAATCTGTTTTTACAATTTTATTTTCAAAATTCACATAAATATTCCCAATAGAAATTATATAGTCAAATTCAAAAAAATATGTGTTGCCAAAAATACCCCATTCTACTTTAAGATTCGTGGTTGATTTAAGCGTATTTTCATCCACTCTTTCTAAAATTTTATTCCCCAACTTGCCCTCCTTTATTAATCTCCAGCAGTCCTCACTCGAAACTTTCTCTAAAATATCAGCTATATCGATTTCTGAGTTATAAATTCGTAAAAATGTATAAGTACTTTTCCCAAAAATTAATTTCTCGCATTTAAAGCCTGTAAAAATATATGGTCTCTTCCTTGGGACGAAAATTTCCACACTATATTCCTCATATAATTTATTATTGGGAATTGAACAATTTATTATCTTCGGAGGAGCTAACAAAATTGCATTGTCCTCTTTTAGACAAACCTGGTAACTGACCGTATTTTGAATTAAAATCAAGCTTATCAGCGTCAATAACGGAAATATAGGCGATGGGGATTTTCGTATATTTTCTACAACATTTATTTTATATCCTCCTCGCCCTCGAGGTTTATTGGTCCTTGCGGGTGTAAATCTATTAATGTTTGTATTTCCATTTTGAACGTTTTGGTAGGGTCTATATCTGTTCATATTTTGGTTTCTCCAATTTCCTCTATATGGTATAAAGTTGGCATTAAATTGACCTCTATTTGTCGGGTAGGAGCCCCACCCGTTATTAAAAGGTCGTCTATAATTATTCCATTGCGGATTTTGTTACTCCATTATTCTGGAATCTGTTTCTGAAAAATGGTGTTCTCCTTTGAAAGTTCGGTAAAAATCTTTGGAACCCATTATTTTTAATTTCCTGTTGTCTAGGTTCTTGAGTACTATTTTGAACCTTACCTATTTGATTTATGCTCTCTACTTGCGCAGTTGTTAATTTTTCTCGCGAAATCTCTATTTGTGCCTCTTCTTCCTCAACTGCCTGCTGTATCGCCTCAGGCATTGATCCTGGTCTAGGCATTCTCCTTAATTGCTCTCTAAGTTCAAGTTTTAATCCTCCCCTAAATAAATCAATGGCTAAATCCTTACGAATATTTGCACTAAATCCTGTAGCGTCAGTATACCCTTTATCGACTAACTGTGTAATTATTTCTGCAAACTCGGGAATACTCTCATTTACTCGCTGTCTTCTTATTTGGGCCATTCTACGAAAATGGGGTACACTGCTACCTATTGCGAATTTTTGGGCCAATTGATCTTTAAGAGTTTCCCAATTTCCTTTCTGCTCAGCTGTTAAATTATCATAATAGATTTGGGCTTCTTTTTCTAAATACATAGGTAACATTTTACACATTTCCGCGTTCGACCAACCGTAAGCTGTTCCAATTTTATTAAATTCAACTATAAACCCTGAAAAAGTCCGCGGGTCTCGACGACCTAGGAATGGAGCAATTTTAAAACTCGGTTTGTTTCCTATATTCCCCAATTTAATATTCAAATCTTGCAACTGCCCCGCTAAATCTTCCATTTTTCTTTCCCAAATTTTTTTCAATCTATTTTTATATCTTTTGGTTCTTTCTGAATCTTCCCCTACCTGACCAAGTGTTGACGGAGGGGTTCCGTACAAATTCTTAATTTCAGCAGGCGTTTGACCGGATTGTTGGTTGTTTAGATTTTTTGAATTGGCTATCAAATTGGACGTTAATTTAAAAATATTTTTAAAATTATACCTTAATTAGTCTCTAAAATTTTAATTTATATTACTATTAACTAGATTTAAGTGTCTTAAATATTCCCGAATATGCCTAAAAATACGCAAAATTTCTTAAAATATTCACTAAATTTAGAGATGTGCCGAAACAGATTTTAAAAAGCGAGACATTCTACAAATAAAACTAAATATTATCAAAAAAAAATTTATCTAAAGCGATAAACTCAGAATTACTTTTTTAATATTCTATTGTACTTAATTTATTACCGAAAATGATCTAAATAAATTTTTGGCAATGAGATTTTAAACAAAAATTTCTCAGATTAGATTAAAAAATTAAATATTTCTGCTAAAAATAATTTTTAGATAATAAATTTAACAAAAACAAAATTTTATGTTATTTCTAACGAAAACAAAATAATAGATTTCTAATAGAATGTTCGAATATTAACGCCAATTTTAGTGAAAATATGCAAAATTTCTTAAAATATACCCTAAATAAAATAAAATTGACTAGATTTGATTAAAAATTTATATATAAAAAAAAGCTTACACTCGTAATTACTATTTAATTAATTTATTTTACTTAATATTTTTGCGTAATAGTTTAAATTAATTTTTGAAGTAGAGTTATTTAACAATTTCTCAAATAAATTCTCTAAATTACATATTTTGTTCAGAGATATGTTTTAGATAGCAAACTTGTTAACATCTTCGCAATCTGCGACAATTTTAGTAAAACTACGTAAGATTCCTTAAAATAGGAAATGCCAAAATATGCAAAAATATGTTTTACAACCCAGTCCTCACTTAATTCATATCCTAAGAGTGGAGCTAAAATGTAAAAAATTTGAATAATTCGTTTGTAAATATCTCAATTTTTATATTAACTAATAAATTTAATTAAATAATAATAGATATCGTAAGAATGAAAAATGACAAAATATAAACATGCGGCCTAAAATATATTTTTTTTTTAAAAATGGCTTAATCTGTACGTAAATTCCCAAAATATAAAATTTTATATTTACTGAGTAACTGTTCAATGTTTCCTAAAATTCAAACAAAATCTCATTATATAATAAAATTAATTTTTCGGTAATTAGAAGAAATTTGACCTTAATAATTAAATGTAGAGACCCAACGGTACCGTACTAAAATGATATTTTCCGGTATTTCAATACGAAATACCGTTCAGTAGCAAATTCCGGTCTCTAATTAAATGTTAAAATTATAAATTTTAATTTAAACTCGGCTATATTCAAAGATAAAGTAAAGAGGAGGGAAAAAATTTAGTAAAAAAATAATTTTTTGTTTATGTTAAAAATTCTTATGTCGGCTTTTTCCTATTTTCTAAAAGCTTAAAAAAATATTTTCAAAGTATCACAAGGGATTTATTTGTCAAGTGTTCAGGGGGCCCTCCTTTCCACTTTGGAGTTATTTCCTAAAATTCTTTTTATTTTTTCAACCAAAAAGGGCAAAAATATTTTTTTTCTAATATTTGATATATTGTTTTGTTTTTGTTTTTTTGGCGCCGGAGGCGCTTCTTGGCTCTTCCTCCATATATATTTTTTAAATGAATGGCTTTGTTTTTGCCATTTTTTTCATTTTTTATATTTTTTAACTCCTTCAGACAAATAAATCATGTGATATCAGATGTACTTTTATTTACGGATACTTTATTTTAGCGTCCGTATTTGATTTATTATTTTTACTATTTTTTTTGGAGTTACTGTAGAAATTTTTGTTTTACACTAGATGGGTTTTTTGCACTAGCTTATTATTTTTGGCAATTTCATTAATGTATAATTTTATTTTTATTTCAGGTCAAAATATTCAAATCTAATTTTTATTACTATTACTCCATTTTTTAATTTATAGTTCGACAAATTGATTATTTTTACTCCGTTGGACATTTTGAGATGGGACGTTTTGTCATTTTATTTTAAAATAATAATTTTTTTTAATCAACTCCCTACATTATGCTTATAATATTGCTTTTTGTCCCCTAGTTTATTTTCTTAAAATTTCCACTTTTTTACTTGTTTTTGTTTCTCTTCTATTTTTGTTGCCGCTTATTTATTTTTATTTTCTCATTCTATTGTATTTTTTGGAAAGGAAAGGGAGAAAATTATTAAGATGGGCCAAAACTTTCCAAAAATTAACTTTATGTTAATTAGCACCTGCCTTTCTTTTTATTATATTTCGTCCTTATCATTATATGTATTATTTACTATTAAATCCCATTTCCCCAAATAAAAATATTAAAAAAAAATTTCCCTAAATTTATCATTGGGTCTCGCTATAAGATATACCCTCTTTTTAAGTTACCTTTCCTCAGATTTAATTATTCTCCGGGGTATGGTCACATTCTAGTTAATTTCCCTTATTTAAAATACGCCTCATTATAAGGTGCGGTCTTTTCCCGGGTGTATCTTATAGCGAGGTCTGACCGGTAAATCTATTTTCTTCAACAATGCATTTATTCCTTTGTTTTACTTTACTCTTTATTTCCGCTTCTACCTCCTTTGACGAACCCCCCGGTGTTTTTCTTGGTTGGGAGTTGGCTGATACTAGTGATCATTGTCCTGGTTGCCTTTGGTTTTGTTATCACCCAATTGGGTAGGTTTGAAAAAATACTAGAACATTCGAATCGGCTTTCACTTCGGTGAGAAAACCCCCTTTTTGTCTGTGATTCATTAAAAAATTTTTTTGGAATTTATTGGAAATTTTATTTTCGGATTTTTGGTAACCTCTTTTAGAAAAAATTTCGATTTTCGACGGTTTTCCTTCCAAAACACCTATATTACTGACAGTCCGTATAAAACCAAGAAAAATTTTCCACCTGGGTAAAATTCCGTCATATCACCTATACTCCGATTCGTCACTCAAATCTACTCCTTTTTACCTAAACTCTCTTTTAAGCTTTATCGAACCAACCTATTGCTCTGAGACCCCGCTTGAACATCCTTCTTCACTTTCGTGTCCTTTTGACTGGATTACAGTGTCTGTGCTTTTTTCCGTCGGTGTTGTCCATTCAATTGTTCTTGGTGTTATTGTGTATTTTGTTGTGCGTTTTAACCGATATTTACGTCGTCATGTGCCCTTGACGACAATTCCATTTACTGCTGCTCGACGACTTCGAACCGTTGGTACCCGGGCCCCGATGGAAGAAGTTTCACTCGAATGGGCCAATAATTAATATTTTTAAAGAATTTTTAATTTTTAAAGAATTTTGAATATTTTTTTTAATAATTTTTAAATATTTGTTGAATTTTATTTTAATTTTAAATTTTTCCATTGTTCGTGCAGTAATTTTTTATTTTTTTTGTTAAATTTTTCAATTTAATAATTTCATTTTTGGCTGTGTGGTTAGCCTAGGACCTCCATTTGTAAGGGTTAGCACCGGGGACTTTAAGAATAAACAAATAAAAAAACATTTCCAATTAAATTTTATTTCCGAAAATTAAATATAATATTGGCGAGCGTGGTTCCGCCAGCAAAAGCCAAAAAGAACAATAGGGGGAAAAAAAAGGAACCACTAAAAAGAGAATATAAAGCTTTATATCTTTCTCAAAGTGGGAGGAGTTTCTTTTCCAGTCGAGAGTGATGTATTACACTTCCAACAGTTGATGGTGGCATTTCAACTTTATATGGAAGTCCGGCGGTAGAGGAGTCTTCCAATCTGTCATCTCGAGGAGAAGTACTGAGTGGGCCTTTAAATAAAATTCTCAAAAATTTCTAAAAAATCCTCAAAAAATTTATCCAAACTTTGACTCCGATGCGGGCCACCACCACTGGACACATAATGATGAGAATGATGATGATTAGATGAGGAAGAGGAACGTTGTAATTGTTGTTGCTGCTGTTGAGTGCTACTATAAAAACCACTAGAGGAAGTTAACTGTTGTTGGGGATGTCCAATATTGTAGAGGAAAGGACCTTAAAAAAATTATTTTTTTGCGGACTTTTTTCAGTAAAATTTTTTTTTGCAAAAATTCTTTGAGCTTTTAAAACTTTTGCAAAAAAAATTAAAAATTGAGTCTTTTAAATTTTTTATTACAAAAAAAAAATTGTAAAAAGACAGGTTAATTTTTAAAGTTAATTTATCTTCTCCCCTCTAATCATTCCAAATTGTAAATGACGTTTTAAATTTTTTGTGTAAAATAACGTTTTCTTTCAATTTTTAAGTGGAGAGCTAAAAAATAATTTGGGAAGTTGGAAGTTTAATTTATGAACCCAACTGAAGTCCTATAAGTCTATTGAAAGGTTTATGGCTCCAATGAAGCAAAGTTCATCAGCCCTTCATTAGCCCTTGATCTTTTTCGAGTCCAACTCAAGTCCTATAAGTCCGCAAAATTTTTTATTAGACCAGTGAAGGTATATAAGTCCATGAAAGTTTATTAGCCCTTAATCCTTTTACGAGTCCAAAAAAAGTTTATAAGTCCGAAAAAAGTTTTTTATGAGTCATATAAACCTCACTGGACTCCTAAAACAAAGGAGAGCCAAAAAGGAAAAAAAGAAAATCATCTCAAACCTTGTGGTTGCGAAACCGCCGTTGCTGGTAAATGGCGTTGATGATGCTGATTAGGAGGGGAAGATGAAGGAGACACTAATACTTGATTATGTTGACGTTGACGACTATTTGAAGAATTATTTGAAGAAAAATTAGCTAGTGGGGGTTGTTGAAAATAAGCAGTTTGTTGTGTATATATTGGTTGAAAAAATGCTGGGGCAGCTGCTGTAGCTAATGGTTGTGGAGCTGTGACGGTTGGGACAAAGAATTGTTGTCCGGTGTGGGGATCAATTAGCAAACGACAGGCGGGGATTGCGTAACCTTTAAAAATTAATTTAAAAATTGGGAGAAAGAGTATAAGATAAAGTGGACGGGGTAAATGTCCGGTTGGTGTCCTACATGTCCGCAAAGAGAATGCGCATTTTTCCTTTCTTTTCTTGCATTTTTTTCTGCAAAGAGCGGCGCCCATTTTTCCTTTATCGTATGCCTTTTGGCACGTGGAAAGAAAAGAGGAAAAATAATTTATTACTAATAAAGTACAAATAAATATTTATTTTATAAATGATCAGAGATGAAAAATTTTGGACAACATTCTCAAATAGATTTCTAATATATCTGGGGGATAAGAACCTTTAATGGGATTATAATGTAAGGATAAGAACCAATAAAATGTGAGGTATTTAGGCAAGTCGGCTTCTGTAAAATGCCTCATTTGACGAACCATTCGAAATCTTAATCTGTTCCAGAATGCTTCAATCTGCTGTGTATTTGCGCCGTTGACTGGATTCATAAAGAATTGTTGATGATTTACTGTTTGGTGTTCATATCCTAACTGATCTAAACCTAAAGTGAATTCTTTCTATTTGTAATTCAATCTATGTAACTAACCGCAATAGGCTCTCCATTCATCACTATAAACTTTAGTTCCTTTTTCAATATGTCGTTCAATGATAGGATGAAGAGTAGCTTTATCTCTCTTGCGGACAAAAAAGAAGCGTGTTTCTGAGCTTAAGATATTTAGATTATTTTTAAAGAAATTCTATCTAATAACCCTCGTCGATTATTTAATTTCCATTCATCATTCCTATACCAGGAAATGCCAAAAATCCAAGGACCATCTACTTTATCCCCATAGTTTCTCATATTTCTATGCTCTTCATAATCATCATCTTCATCATCGCTTTCTTGTTGCTTTCCTTCCAGATCACCAATTGTATAACGACCTTTGTTATTCTTTCTCTTTCCTCTTAGTAATATTTCATCAACTTGACATAACTCTCCTAATCCTCCCATAGGTTCTGCACGGTCAAACAAGATATAAGGCGGATCTCTAAATAAAGAACGCCAATCATAGACTGCTTTTCGATCAAGATTAAGCTTCTGTACTGAAAAGGGAATAGGCGTTTGCATGAGATAATACTCTAGAAGCTTAAGAATCTTGAAAAGCGAAATTCTGTTTTTATTATTCTGAAATGAAAAAAATTCACTATCAGAACGTACAGAAATTATTGCTTGGCAATTTCTCTTGGGACAACTTAATAAATATAAAAATTTTATTACATATGAATTTAATTATTACCGCCAGAAGTATCCATTTTTCCACTTTATACTCATATCATTACCACATTTGCTGCAGATCCTTTCAGTCTTCAAAAGACGAAAGCTTTGTAGATATTCAATAATTAACATTTGGGATTTTTTCTTTAATTCAATATCGAGTTCTTTATCGTCAAAAAATGGAATCCAGAAATTTTCTCTTGAGGAATTATTAGTGGGACAAGAAAGGGACATATTCAAATTTTAATAAAAATGTTTAATGCCTTTATAATAACTTTATAGTTTATGTTTTACTAAGGAGTTCTAGTATATACATATTTATTTCCATAGAACAAAAACATGACAGACATGATTATGTTGCCCAAACATGTTTTTATCGATCATTTATAAAATAAAATATTTACATATTTGTACTTTATTAGTAATTAATTAATTAATTATTTGTTTTTCCTCTTTCTTTCCACGTGCCAAAAGGCATACGATACATAAAGAGAAAATGGACGCCGCTCTTTGCAGAAAAAATGCAAGAAAAGAAAGGAAAAATGCGCATTCTCTTTGCGGACATGTAGGACACCAACCGGACATTTACCAGTGGACGGTCTCAATGTCAAAATAAGATGAAAAAAAACTTGGGAAACCATAAAGAAAGTAAAAGTGTGGTGGCTGGCAATAGGAAATCGGGTGCCCGTTGTCGAATGGTACAAAAAAGAATAAATTAAAAATAAATCAAATTCTCACTAAACGAGGTTCCCTTGTAAGTGTCAAAAACTCCAAAAATCTTCTAAAAACCCAAAGCTAGTAAACAGAAATATTTTTTGAAAAACGGGGAGGGGATATACACCAAAACACTAAAAAATAAAATTTGAAAAACGGGAAGGATCATAAACCACAATACCAAAAAAAAATTTAAAAATAAAAAAACCAAACCTAACTGAACAGCAGACAGACCAACAGCTGCTGCAGGATGTGTAGCAGTTCCCATAATTTGTCCTCCACTTAATTGTGTTGGTGGAGGTGATCCACCTCCACCTCCTCCACTCGAATTATTTTGATGATGCGTTGCCATAAAAACACGTCTAGACTCCATAGGAGAAGCTAATGGTGAAACAGCTTGTTGAGCTACTGAACGTCTCAAAGGGGACTTAAAAAAAATAAATTTAATTTTTAGTTTATTTTTTTGTTTTTTCACTACTCGACTCAAATCCCGATCCCAAAACATTCTTAAAACTCAATAAAATAATTTTGTTTCTCATACCCTCCAACAGGGACACGCCCGAAATGTCGCGCGGCCATAATGTCGTCGAGCCATAACTTGCTTTAAGATTTCCGAATCTTTCCAAATTTAGTATTAGACGATTCCTCTCATCGAGCTAAAGAGATTGGTACCAAAATTGATAAGGGCCAGAAATTTTTTAGCAAGTTATGGCTTGGCGACATTATGGCCGCGCGACATTTCGGGCTGTACCCTCCACAACACACCCCCTACCCTAGCGTTAGGAGGACAACCATAATTTTATCTACAAAATAAATATTTTTATGAAAAATTTATTTTTTCTCGAACAAATTCCAACATCTAAAATTAATTTTTGGTATAAACAAAAATAAATAACTATCAAAGATAATTTTGTAAAAATAAAATTTTTGTAAAATTAAAAAGATAAGAGAATTACCCCCCAAAAAAATAATAAAAATAAAATTAAATAGAGAAATAAAAATTTGGCTGTAGTGTAGTGTACCGGTGGTAAAAGTTCGGGACGTGACATATGTCATTCGATTCGTCTCGACGAGCTGAGTCGAATGGTACCACTCCCTATTTTAGGAAATGATTCTGGACCGAGTTATAGGTCCCGAAAAATTGAAAAACCAAAGGGGGAGTAAGCTCGATTTTGGGGTGAAAAATTCGAATATGCAAATTATACCTCATTCGAAAGAGCTCGTCGAGATGAGTCGAAAGACACAAAAATCAACGAAATCTGACTTGATTTGACAAAGTTATGCTCGTTTGTTTTAGCTCCTTACCTATGGCGCCCGTGGAGATTTTTGCTGCTACGGAGGCCCCAAATACGTCCAGAGCAAGGGAGATAGGAATAGGTTTATGTTACGAGCCCAGACCCATCGCCCGTAGACTCCCCGCGAGGCGCGTGCCGCAAAACCCCGCGCGAAGCGCGGGGTTTTGCACAAGCGCCTCGCCGACGCCACATAGGTTTATGTTGCTTGTTTTTTGTGTCGTAACTTTGTCTAATCTTGTTCAATCACGGTGATTTTGGTATCATTCGACTCAGCTCGTCGAGCTCTTTCGAATGAGCTATTACATGCTTTTTCGAATTTTTGACACTAAAATCCGCCCTGTGGTTTTTGACCATTTCGAGCCCTATATCTCGACTCCAACTTGTTCAATCAAGCTGATTTTGGTGTCATTCGACTCAGCTCGAGTAGCTCTTTCGAATGAGCTATTATTTGCATATTCGAATTTTTCACCCCAAAATCGAGCTTACTCCCCTCTATGGTTTTTGAATTTTTCGGGACCTATAACTCGGCCCAGAATCATTTCCTAAAGGTGAGTGTGGTACCGTTCGACTCAGCTCGCCGAGACGAATCGAATGACATATGTCTCGTCCCGAACTTTTACCACCGGTACACTACACTATATCCAAAAATTTTTCCCCCCCTTTACCCTTATTTTTGTCTCAATTTTAGTTTCTCGACCTCCCTCCCCCTTCTAATCACTTAACTCCCTTCTCCTAGTCACCCCTCCAAAAAATTAATAAAACCAAAAACCAAAAAAATTTATTATTTCTCTCAAGTTCCCCTCCCTCCCCCAAATTTTTTTACCCTTATTTTTGTCTCGATTTTAGTTTCTCGACTTACCTTCCCTCCCCCTCCTAATCACCCCTCCAAAAAATTAATAAAACAAAAAAAAATTATTTTTCTCTTAAGTTCCCTCCCTCCCCAAAATTTATTTCCCCCCCCCCCCAAGACTGCTGATTAAAAAAATTTTTTTTAATAAAAAAAAACTCACAGAATGAGCAGAATTAGAGGCATTATTAGAATAGGGTAAAAGTTGTTGTTGTTGGAATATATATTGTTGTTGATTTGTTGTTGGGTAAAAGTTGCTGCTGTTATTAGAATGATGGCCAGTATTATTATTGCTGCCTGATTGCATTTAAATCTCTTCCCTCTTTTTTTTAATTTATAAAAAAGTTTGTTGGGGAGTGTAATATTCACAAAATTTGTTTAAAAAAAAATTATTTTTTTTTTCAATCTCGTTTTAGTTGTCGAACGCTGTGTGTGTGTAATAGAAAAATAAAAATAAATAGAAAAATAAATTAAATAGAAGGCAAAAAAATAATAAAAAAAAATTTCTATTAAACACACACCTTGTGATTAAACTTGATAAAAATTAAAATAAATAAATAAAATTAATTTTTGAGGTTGGGAGAATGCCATATTGACCAAAAAAAAAATTTTTTTTTGAAAAAGAAAAATTAAAAATATTGCTTAGAACAAAAGTTGTCAAATTGTGACGTTTTCTAACAGAAAAATAAAATAAAATTTTTCTTCTTTTTAAAAAGGAGCAAAAACGCCGCTAAAAATACAAAAATTTTAGATGGATAGTTTAAATCTCCTTAAATTACAAAATTAATGATGGGGGTGAGAAAGAAAAATAAAAATATATTTAAAGAGAAACTTTTTTGGTGTTTTTAACAAATATTTATTAGCTCTCAAGGACAAATAAAAATAAATACATTGCAGAGAAAAATAAATAAATTAATTTTAAAATGACGAGTTATGTAAAGTTAAAAGAAAATAGCGCCCTTAAATAGGATAGTTAAATTTTCCGGAAAGTTTTATTTATTTTACAATTTGTAAAAATAAAATTACAATTCCGGAAAGGGTAAGAAAATGTTTCCGGAACGAAAATACATTGTATACATTGCAGAGAAAAATTCCGGAATAATACATTTCCTTCTGTAAGTCAGACACTTTCCGGAAAAAAAATTTTCTTTTAGTTTTCCGGAATAATTACAATTTGTAAAAATTAATTAGAATTCCGGAAAAAGTAAGAAAATATCTTTTAAGTAAGAAAAAGGATTCCGGAAAATGTATTTTTAACAAAGACAGGTTTCCGGAAAAATACAATTACCAAAATACAAAGAAAAAATATGCACATTTTCTTCCGGAACGTCAGACACTTTCCGGAAAAAAATAAATACAAATACATAAATCAGAGAAAAGGTGAGAAGAATTAAAAAGTTTTTTAACTTAGCCAGACGGTGTAAAATCTATAATTTATTGAAATGTTGAAAACGATGTAAAGATCGATTTGACTGGCAGTAATGAAAAAATAAGGGTAAAAAGAGAAAAATAATGAGGGGAAATAAAATTTATTTGGATCTTTTTTTCTCTAACATTGCTTACACTTTCTCTCTTTCTCTATGCCAACGCGAAAAATAAATGGGACAGAGAAGCTATATTTCAAAGTGTAAAATAAAACAAATTTGTTTACAACACCTAAAGGTCAAAATGTCCAATAAGTGAAATATTTTACATTTTGACACATCTGTCAGTAATTTAACAGAAACCAGAGGTGGGTCGGAATTCCGACTTCCGACGTTTTTTCCTTCCTATTTCCGAAAAAAATTTTAATTTCCGAAAAAAATTTTAATTTCCGAAAAAAAATTTTGATTTCCGATTTCCGAGTTCCAACTTTTGAGCCAGTGCCGATTTCAGGATCTTTCGATTTCCGACACCTCGGACTGTTCCGACTCACCTCTGTCAGAAACAAATGTTTTGCCTTCTTTTATAGGCAATTTTAAAAACAAACAAATTTTCTTTTTTTTTAATTGAAAGAATAAAAATATTAAGTAAATTTTTAGATAAATTTTAAATTTTTAGATAAATTTTATATACAGCTAGTTAAAAAGACTAACTAAGAGCTTAATTATAAAAATAAATTTTTCTTTCATTTAAAGAGCTCAATTGTTTAAAAACAAAACTAAAAAGCTTTTCTTTCTTTCTCACAATTTTTCTTTTATTTTTTTAAGCTAAATTAATTTTTCTTTTTTAAATAAAAAATATGGAGTAGATATTTTAACCACACACAAAAAGTAAATATATCCTCCTCTCTTTGTGTGTTTTTCGGGATTTTTGTCTTTGATCTGAAAGAAAAAACGAGAAGGAAATAAAAATTGTTAATTGTGTACATATCCTTGGTTTTTTTTAAAAAAGAGTGGGAAAATAAAATAAACACAAAAACAAAAATCAACTCAAAAACAATAAAAGAAAGGGATAATAGTTAGCTTCATGAGAAGCTAATATTAGAAGCTAATATGAGAAGCTAACTAAAAAAACAAAGGAAGTTTTTAAAAGTAAGTTGTGTTGCTATGGTCAGTGCAGTGGAAAAAAAATAAAAAAATAAATAAAAATAAAAAAAAATCGGGAGTGAAACAAGTAAAGAGTGAAAGAGGGATAAAAAGAAAAATGAGTTGAAGTGGAAATTATTTTTAAAGAAAAACAATAAATAAGAAGAAAAAAAAATCGCGCAAATCCACAAAAATCCAAACAAAAAAATAAATAAGACCGCTAAAAATCAATTTGTTTTTATTTGTTGTCATAAATCGCGTGGAAAAAAGGAAAGAAAATCTTTCTTCTTTTAAAAAACAGCCAGCTAATTTAGTTTAGCTAACATAAGCTTTTGATTACAAAAGAAAAAAAAGCTTAAATAAACATGCGCGCTATAAAGTGTTTAAGCGAGAAAATAAAAGCGCAAGAAAAAAAAGTTTCATGTGACTGAAGTGAAGAGAAAAACTTTTGACAAATTACCTGAGAAAAGTACTGCGCTTTTATAGTATTTTAAAAACTTGCTCAGAAAATAAATTTAAGTAAAGAAAAGTTTATAAACTTAAATCAAGTTTATTTAATTTTACAAACTTAAAAAAGTTTAAGTTCAAACTTGAAAAAAAAGTTTATTTTAAGTTCTAGCTTAAAAAAAAGTTTATTTAAGTTCAGACTTGAAAAAAGGTTTATTTTTACAGACTTAAGAAAGTTTAAGTTCAAACTTGAAAAAAAGTTTATTTTCAAGCTTAAAAAAGTTTATTTAAGTTCAAACTTAAAGGTTTATTTGCTATTACAAACTTGAGTTTATAAAACTTAAAAGAAGTTTATAAACTAGAAAACTTAAGTTTGTTATAATCTTAAGTTTATTACAAACTTAACCCAAATTGCTTCAGGTTTCTTTTAATTATAAAAGAAGCTTTATAATAAATTTAAATATTTTACAAAACTAAAACTTTTTTTCTTTCTATGTTTATATGCTGAAAAGTTTATATAAATAATTTTAGGTAAGATGACGAATTTTTTCTTGGCAATTCTTAAATTATTTTTAATGATTAATGTTGATTCATTTAAAAAATTTTTTGTTAGCAAAGCCGACAGCTTGCTTTACAAAACTGCTGCATCCATGCGGATGTTGCACAGAATGGAAGCCAACGAAGGCAAGCACTTGGGGATGAGTCATGACAAACTTAAACACATTTTTTATATCATTCCAATGTTTATTTAGAAAAAATAAAAATTTGCCTGCTTGTTGTGGTCGCAATGGTGGGACAAAACCGCGAGACTGGAAAGGTTGGAATTGTGGTCTTTGTTGTTGTTGTTCAGCAAAAGTTGGAGGAGGCGTGGTTGTTGATGGTTTCTATAATAGATGTTAATACTTGAAATAAATAAGCATAAACTTAAAACGTTCCGAACAAAGTCAAAACACATCCAAAACATTAAACAAACACAAACGAGAAACAAAAACAAACTCTAAATAAAATTACCTAACACAAACTTCAAAAACACAAACTTCAAAAACATTAAATAAACTTGAAATACATCAAACAAAACAAAGTTTATTTAGTGTTGTTTTTAACAAAAACAAAAAACAAACTCAAAACATTAAAAACACAAACATTAAATAAACTTGAAGAAACATAAACAAGCTTCAAAAATATTAAACAAACAAACTGTAGTAAAACATTAAACCTGAAATACAACAATTAAAACAAACAACAAATACAAAATTAACTCAAACATTAAAAATACAAAAACACAAACACAAAAATACAAAAACACAAACATTAAAAATACAAAAACACAAACATTAAAAATACAAAAACATAAACATTAAAAATACAAAAACAACAAAACATAAAACAAAAACACAAACATTCAAAATACAAAAACACAAACATTAAAAATACAAACCTCTAAGAAACGAGGAGCCTGTTGCCCAAAACCTGGTCCTTGTAATATCCGTTGCGGAAACGCCTGTTTTTAAAAACAATGTTTTTATAAATGTTTTTGTGTTTTACTTGATGTCTGCTAGCCGGTAAACTCCTGCTTAATGCTTGTTCAAGTTGGGCAGAGTCTTTACCATTAAACATCTAAAAAACACAAAACTTGAATTTTTCAAGTTTAAACTTGAAACCTGAAATGTTTCAAGTTTAAATGTATCAGCAGGCGGCGGTGTTGTTGGAGGGGGAGAAAGCCAACCTAAGCCATTTGGAAAGAGTGAACATGGAGGTAATGGGGCCTTTAAAAAATTTTTTAATTTTTAATTAAATTCTTAATTACCGATAGAACAGATTTAACCCAAAAACGGCGTAACGACTGTACTACTGTAGCACTAGAAAATATTGAAATTAGTTGAAAAAAAATTCAAAAAATTTTTCTAAAATTTTCAAAAAAATTTTTTTTTCAAATTTATCAAAAAACAACTCACACAAACTGAACAGTATCCGTTTGCCCATCCCCCCTCCACCATAATTTTAATCTCTCCTTCCCCTCATCGTGACTGTGGGTAACAGAATCGCGTTGTCTAAAACATTGAAACTGCCAAGAACCATTATCTTTAAAAAGTTTTTTTGAATTTTTAAAAATTAAATTACCATCAAGATGAACAAATTGTCCACTTCTAAAACCAGTTCTAGCCCCATTAAAAATTATTGGTTGCATTGAAAATCCTTTAAATAGAGATGTGCTTGCATTGCCTCGAAGAATTACTGAAAAATGAAAAACAATTCTGATTTTAAAAAAATTTCTGAAAATTTATTTCAGAAAAAATTCTGATTTTTAATTCTGAAAAAAATTCTGAAAAAATTTCTGAAAAAAATCCTGATTTTTAATTCTGAAAAAAATTCTGATTCTGAAAAATTCTGAAAAAAATTCTGATTTTTAATTCTGAAAAAAATTCTGATTCTGAAAAATTCTGAAAAAAATTCTGATTTTTAATTCTGAAAAAAATTCTGATTCTGAAAAATTCTGAAAAAAATTCTGATTTTTAATTCTGAAAAAAATTCTGATTCTGAAAAATTCTGAAAAAAATTCTGATTTTTAATTCTGAAAAAAATTCTGATTCTGAAAAATTCTGAAAAAAATTCTGATTTTTAATTCTGAAAAAATTCCCAAAAAAATCACCTACAAGCAACTGGTTGTCCAGGTCTATAGCATTTCTCATCCAACTGTATTTGAAAAGGAGGTTCAGTTAATTGCAGTCCTCCCTGGTGCTCCACAGCTTCCAACGGATTCATAGAATCAATTACAGTTCTAAGACAAGGAGCACCATCAGGCCAAGCAGAGACGGGCAAATTGGCTAGCAGATTTATAGCAAGTATTGACAGGGTTGTTTGCAACATTTTTAGAAACAAATTCTGAAAATTGTAAAAATTTCTAGCTTTTTCTGGACAAGGCAAAAATTTTCTTTTTTTTTACCTTTTATCAATCGGTCGGTTGGTCCTCTTCAAAAATTTAATTGAACACTCACACACAATTTTATATAAATGTATTGTGTACAAACGTCTTTTTGCCTTTCTCCAATAAAATAAACTAAATAGTAGGTGACCTCGCGCAGCTTCCAAATTTATTTTTTTTCGTCTTTTTTTCTTCATTTTTATTTTCTCGTCAAATTGATTGCGTAAATTTACATTTAATAAATAAAATAAAATTTTTGTTGTAAAATTAACTTTGCTGCAATTTATTGTTATGCTGCACATTTCGTTTAATTGCTTGTTGGGACAAAGCAAAAATACAATAAAAAGACCAACCTAAATTGTAAAATAAGTTTTAAAGTTTTACAATTACTATTCTTCTCGATACAATTAAAAGAACTACCAAAAAATCAGAACAAGTTTTACAAACACTGCTGTAATAAAAACACGCCTGTTTTGAAAAAATACAAAAACACATGTTTTTGTATCTTTGAATGTTTTTGTATTTTTAAATGTTTTTGTATTTTTATATGTTTTTGTATTTTCGAATGTTTTTGTATTTTTAAATGTTTTGTATTTTTGAATGTTTTGAGAAATGTTTTGAAAAAATACAAACATAATACATAAAATGTTTGTAAAACACAAAAGTGTTCTGATTTTAAGTTTGTTTGTTTGTTGAAAAACATTATTAAAAATAAAAACACATGTTTTGAGAAAACACAAACATTAAACAAAACATTGTTGTTCTGATTTTTGTTTGTTTGTTCTTTTAATTATATCTAAAAAACATTGTTAAAAATAAAAACACACATGTTTTGAAAAACACATGTTTTGAAAGCAAAAAATACAAAATGTTTTTAATAAAACATTTAAAAATACAAAAATACAAAATATAATTTTTATTTGTTTGTTTTTATTTAAAACAAAAACACGAAATTGAAAAAAATACAAAAACAAAAATACAAGGTAAAATACATGATAAAATACATAAATTGTGAAATACATAAAATTATGAAAAAATATATATACATATAAACAATTTTTAAAGTTTTTGAGAGAGATTTATTTGAGTTTGTTTGTTTGTTTGTGCTTGACTTGAGAATAATTTTTGTGTGACTTGAGAAACGACAAGATTTTTTTTAAAAATACAAAAATTAATTTTCAATAATTTTTATTTTTCTTCTTTATTTTTTTTCCTCCTCTTTATTTTTATTAATACCCAAGAGGGATACTTTAACAACTAAAGCCTCATTATTTGAATTATTTGAACTAGAAATATTTTTATTTTGTTTTTGTTGTTGTTTTTCTTTGGTAAAATGTTTAGGTATTAATTGAAAAATATGCCATTTATTATTATTATTTTGATTATTATTATTTGTGATAGGTAACATAGATTGTTCAATATTTCTTTGCTAAAAAATGAAAAAAATTTTTTTTTAATAAATCAAAATTTCCTCCTTACTTTTCCACATTTTCTATATTTTGAATTAAACAATACAGCCAATAATAAATAAATTGCAAAAAGTAAAAGTAGAGCAAACGCGGGTATACCCACAATTAAAGCAGCAACAATAAATAACCAATGAGGTTGAGGCCAAGTTTGTTGTTGTTGTTGGTGGTGGGGTAAATGTTTGTTGTTGTTATTATTGATACCTTAATTAATTATAAAATAATTATTTTTAATTAAACTTGTTTTGTTTTTAAAAATAGAAAATACAAAAAATAAAACACATTAAAAATACAAAAAATACAAAATACAAAAACATAAAACTTAATGTTTTTAAAATATAAAACACAAAAAAATACAACAACATAAAACACAAAAACACAAAACTTGGAAACCTAAAAACTTAAAACCTTATTGAATTAAAACTTGTTTCTAAAAATATAAAACACAAAAAATACAAAAATTGAAAACACAAAAAAAAATAAACTTAAAAACCTAAACAAACTTAAAACTTGGTAAATTAAAACTTGTTTTGTTTAACTAAAAATAGAAAATACAAAAATTAAAAACACTATAAACTTTGTTTTGCTCACAAAAATACAAAATACATAAACTTAAAAAAATAAAACATTTTTTTCCAACCTTTAGTTGTTGTTGTTGAATTACTCTGCTGTTGCAAATTTTCAAACAGCAATGTTTCTTCACTTCCTCTTTCAAAAGCAACAAGTTGTTGTTGTTGTTGCTGTTGTTCTTTATTATTCTCAGTTTGTTTTTGTTGTTGTAAACATAATTGTAAACACCAATTCATTCCTGTTGTTTCTATTTGTTGATTATTTTCAATTTTATCTGTTGTTGAAATGATTGGTAGAGATAAGGAAGAACAAGGTGGACAGTGAATTTCTACACATTTAAGCATACCGCCTAAAAGGCAACTGCAGTTACGGAAAGGACCATCCTGAAAATACAAAAATATTATTAATGTTGTGATATAAAAATAGACTTGAATTAAAACAAAAAAACACAAAACAAATAAAACATGGAAAAACACAAAATAAACAAACTTGAATTAAAACATAGAAAAACACAAAACAAATAAGCTTGAATTAAGAAAAACACAAAAAATAAATAAACTTGAATTAAAACCTAGAAAAACACAAAACAAATAAACTTGAATTAAGAAAAACACAACAAAAATAAAAACAAAAAACACAAACAGAAAACACAAAATAAAATAAACCTAAATTTAAAAAAACACAAAAAATACAAAAATACAAAAACAAAGAAAATACAAAAACAAAATAAATACATTTTAAACACAACCTGAAAATTCTCCCCAATACTATAAGCATGATCATTATACAAACAATTTTCTTTTGTTACTGGTTCACAATTTGTTGTAATATTAATAGAATCTTGTTGTTGTTGTTGTTTATTTTCTTCCTCAATTTCAACATTATTATTTTCTCCTTCTCCAGCACATTTACACTCAAAACATCCAGTAAAATTGTTTTGATTCAACCCATATTGACAAAGTAATTCACAATTTGAAAGGGACGGACAGGAAGACGAAGAGGAAAATGAAGATTCTAAAGCTATTGTTGGGCCATCTAAAAAAATAATTTTTTTTTGAAAAATTAAAAAAAATATTTCAGAAAAATATTTCAAAAAAAAATTTCAGAATTTTTTTTCTGAAAAAATTTCCAGAAAAAATTTTAGAAAAAAAAAATTCAAAAAATTTCAAAAAATTTTCTGAAAAATTTTCAGGAAAAAAATTTCAAAAATTTTTTCTAAAAAATTTTTGCAAAAAAAAATTTCAAAAAAATTTTCAGAAAAATTTTCAAAAAATAATTCTTAATTTACCCTCACAAATAGGACAACATTCATTACTTCCGGCAGGTTTAGGCTCTTCACAATCTGTTTGACAAATATATTTTTGACATTGCCAATGAAAATCATCATCAACAAAATTTTCTTCGCTTCCTCCACAAGTACAATTTGTACAACCATCACGTTCCCAATTTGATCCAGGCAAATAATTTTTGCCATTATCATCAGTACATCCCAAACAAACTGGGCAACATTCTCCTTGTGACAGACCAACCCATTGACAATCCGCTTGAAAATTAATTTTTTTTCAAATTTTTATCAAGAAGAAAGCTACGTGATAAGGCTGGACATTCCATTCTTTTGCATAATGCAACACCAGCAGAGCTACACTAAAAATTAAAAAAAAAATAGAAAATATGGGAAAAGAGAGAGGCCTCGAGCAGGCATTGATACTCTGATGTGAGCTCCAGAGAGGTAGGTGACTTTCTTACCTTCATCTTTAATAAGTAGATGGTCCTAAACTCCCGCCTAGTATTTTTTAAATGCTACCCATTGGATCTACCTCATTTCCTTAAAATATAAGGCAAAAAAATCCCTGTGTCCCAGTATCTTCCTCATTTTCCTTAAGTGATGTTCTAAAAAGACTGAGAAAATTTTCAAGATTTGCGGCAAAAAAAAATTCCCAAAAAAGTATGATTTCAAAATTTAAGACCAAGAGAGTCTCTTGTACATCACTGGCCAAAATAATTATAAACTAATATTTACTTCACATTCTTGACACGGTGCTGCATGCCAATGTTCACCTTTAGCATAAATATGGCCTTTAAAAAATATTTTTTTCTATAATTTTAAAAATTAAAAAAAATACCTCCATAACGACAACCACTATTACTACTCGATTCTAAAAATAATCCTTCAATTTCATCTCCTTCATTTACACATTTAAATTTATCACAACATTGACCAGGCTCGCCTCGACCTCGTTCTAATATTAGCAATTGCTGTTCTGGTAAGCATAGAGCCTTAAAAATAGAAGAAATAAAGTTCAAACTTGAAAAAAGCAAGTTTTACAATTAAGAATTACAAATTGTAAAATAACAAAGAGAATAGAAAATTAAACTTTAATAATTAAACTTGAAAACTTTCTTTTTACAATTCTAAATTACAAATTGTAAAATTTAAATAAACTTGAAGTGACACAAAGTTTTTCAAGTTTAAACTTAAAGTCACTTCAAGTTTATTTAAACTTTACAACTACATAATTTGTAATTGTAAAAAATGTTTTCAAGTTTAATTAATATTCTGTATGTCATTTTACAATTTGTAAATTTATAATTGTAAACAAGTTTTAAGTTATATCTTTTTCAAGTTTAAGCTTAAAGCGAAAATTAAACTTTTAAGTTTGAACTTGAAAATTAAATATACAACTTTTCTATTATAAAAAATAAGTATTACCGGTTCACAAATGCTCAGTTTACATTGACATTGCGATATGATTGGACAACAACCGCCAGTTGGAATGTAAGGTTTAGGCCGGTAACTAGAAAAACATTTTGAAAAATTTTTTATGAATAATAGGTTTACCTATCATCTGGGCAAGTGTGTCCATCGGGTGAATAAGGATCCAAAATTATTGATGAAATGTCAGGGCAAT